CTCAGGGCAGTGGTGGGCAGGGAGTTCACACGTTGCTAAAGGACCCGAAAAAAGTGGTTGAAGCTCCCAGAAAATTCATGAAAACTACAAAGTCTGCGTGGTTCTGTTTTGGCTTGCTGAGGTTACATCCCATTTTTGTAAAAGATAATAAACTTGAGAAGGCTTTTTAAAATTAGATAATCAAAGTTGAGATCACAGCTGTTCCAGGCTATTCCTTCTGTCCAGCACACACAGTAGATGGGAGGCAGCAGAGCAGGAGGCACAAGTAGGGATTGTGGGGTCGCCCTGCTCTCCAGACCTGGCCCCTCCCTCCTTAGTGAGGTGGCTGTGGTGTCCCTCCCTCTTCAGTCATGTGCCCTTGGAGCCAGCTTCTTCATCACTCTCTGCTTCAGTTTTCTCATCTGTAGAGCTGGGATAATAGTAAGATCTACCTCACAGCGGCATTACAGGCATTAAAAGGGCATCATGTTCTTCAGAAGATGCCTTTGTAATATTCACTTACTAATGCTTAAGGTGAATATTGAGCAAAGTTGATTTGGTCTGCTCAGTGAAGAATATACTTTCTATATTCTGTGGTAAGGCTGACTTTAAAAATAGAAGTAGTGGACATTGTTTTTTTTCTTTATCTGCCCTACCCAGTGCACGTGAGGCCCTTTAGGAACAACACAGGCACACATGCAGTGCCAATTTACTCCCAGATCCAAGGGTATTGAGGAATGGACCTTGAGTTTCAAATAGCTGTGATTTTATTCAACTTTTTTGAATTTGAGTTTTATTACATTATCACCAGAGAGTTTGGCTTATAAGATCTCTAATTCTTTGAAATGATTAAGTTTTCCTTTGTAGCCTTCTTTATAATTGATTTTTATAAATATTCTATTGATGTGTAAGAAAAATACAGATTCTCTATTTGAAGGATGTACTTTCTTTCTGTTTATCTAATTCTTCCACATTCTTACTTGTTTAGCATTGTCAGATTTGAGGAGATAAGCAGTCATGCACCATATAACGATGTTTTGGTCAGTGACCAACTAACCACATATAGTGTGGTGGTCACATAAGATTATTTCCTATTTTTACTGTGCCTTTCCTATGTTTAGATATTTTTAGATACACAGATACTTGGCATTATGTTACAGTTGCTGTTCAGTGCATTCACCTGCTGTACAGGTCTGTAGCCTGGCTGTGTAGGTATTGTGTAGTACGCTCTGTGATGTTCACACAGTAATAAAATTACCCTAGCAATGTGTTTCTCAGGTTGCATCCCTGTTGTTAAGTGACCCATGACTCTATAAAAAAGCTTCCTACAATATTTGTACTTTTAACAAATGCTTGTTAAATTCCCAACTGACTTTGCTGTATAGCTAATTAGAGGCTTGTGAATGATTATAGTTTCTTTGTAAATTGTCTTTTGCCTAGTTATCTTAATTATCATTTTAACCTGAAATCTAATGTTGTCAGCCATGAACACCTTCTCACCTTTGTGCTTACATATGCCTGGTGGTGTCCATTCTGTAGTCCTCTGTGGGTGACTAGTCTGAACTGAGCATGCTAAGCTAACCCATGCCTTCTGCTGATGATTTATCTTTTTAAAAGGAATTCTAAAACATGATATTAGAGAAATTTGGAAAATTTATTTTGATGACGGGAGGGGAGGTAGTCGGGAAGGCTTATCTCCCAGGGAACACGTATTCTCTCTTCCTGGTATTTCCTTCCCTAGTAGAACAGCAGTTCCAAACCCAAATGTGGTCTCAGAGGTCCTTTTTGCTTTTTAAAATTACTGAGGACCCTCAAGGATTTAGGTCATGTGAGTTATATCTATTAATGTTTGCCACGTTTGAAATTAAAACAATTTTTACAGTATTTCTCCATTTATTTAAAAGTAAGGACTGAGCTGGGTGTGGTGGCTCACCCCTGTAATCCCAACACTTTGGAGGACCTCATCTGATGTCAGGAGTTTGAGACCAGCCTGGCCACAATTGTGAAAACCCATGTCTACTAAAAATACAGAAATTAGCCAGGCATGGTGGCAGGTGCCTGTAATCCCACATACTCTGGAAGCTGAGGCTGGAAAATTACTTGAACCCAGGAGGCAGAGGTTGCAGTAGCCAAGATCGCGCCATTGCACTCCAGCCTGGGTGACAAGAGCGAAACTCCATCTGAAAAAAAAAAAAAAAAAGTAAGAACTGTATGTCTCACACTTTGGCACACCCTCTTGGTATCTGTATGATGGGGATTATTCCTCATCTCTGCTCCTGAGTTCATTCTGCTATAATGTAGCTTGTTGGGGCCTCTGGAGCACTTCACTGCACACTAACATATGTGAGGGTAGAAAAAGAAAATCATATCTTAGTGACACTGGAAATAGTTTAGACCTTGGGCTTCCCCAAGAGGCCCTTAGATGCTGCGTGGGGAACCGTGGTGGTAGAACGAACTGTCTCTCCCAGACTTGCTCACCACAGCCCCTCTTACTTGTGAGAAACAGGCAAGTATAACTCTTCTTTTTCCTTTGAGGAATAAAATATATTTGTATATTTTGGTTTGTTTTTTTCATGTCTTCAGTGTTGTAGGGCAAGAAGCCTATCTGGGGAGGCTTTGGTTATTAAGCAAAGTACTTAATAATGCCAGTGCTTACGACTGGCTGGCATTGTCTCTACCTACCTAGGAAATCCATTGTTGTGTGAATCTGAATCACATCTACCAATCCAGCTGTTACTAGCAATAATGCTGATAACCTCAGTTGACCTGAATTCTTGTCTCTAAATTAATTCTAAAGTGAGGCAGGGAGAAGGGGTACTAGTCAACATTACAACAAGGAAGAAATTTAATAATAATATTCAGTTAATTTGAGAAGGAACAGGATTGAAATTTTGACAATGGTCTTCTCATCTTTGCTTGGCCTGACCTGATCTGATCTCTGTCCAGTGCCCTCAACTGGTGTGTTTTAGTGTAGGATATTTTTATGCAAATATGTTAGAAATCACAATTTTTTTCCCCAAAGATTGTCATCTAATTGTCACACTTATAATGTTATTTGTGGCCGAGTATATGACTTAGTGATTTCTCATTCTGGAAATCAAGAAAGGCTGGAAGGAGAATTGGAAGGAAGGGATCAGAAACTCTGTTTTCAGAGAAATAAGAGGCAGATGCAATGCACAGACTCTAAAATATGCACGAAGCTTACTAAAAGCTAAGCTTGGGCAGCGATAGTATAGGTCTATGAATTTTATATCTAGTCAAACTGTCTTTTGTATCCACACTGCAAACAGTATTGATCATGTAAGGATGATACTCAGGGAATACTGATTGTTCTCATGAGCATTTTTGATTAGAGAAACGGTGTCCATCGGACTGGATGTCAGTGAATCCCTACAGCATTAGCTGTGTGGCTGACTGTGATGGAGTGGAGTGTGAGTGGAGGGTGGAGGAGAAAAGGTTGGTGGTAGAGGTTTATTGACTGTCTCACTTGTAATCACAGGGGAGGCATTAAGATATTATTCACTAAAATCAAGTTGTAGAGGAGAGGGATGGAAGGAAGAAGGAGCAAGATGAATGGCAGTTTTATCACAATGTGGAACAGGGAACTAACAACACTAAGATGTGTTGTATAAGAATTCTGAAGGATAAGAGAATTACATAGAGCTAAAATTCCAAAAGTAACCCCTAGGACAAAATAGTGCAAACATTCCTAACTTTCAGAAGAACTACAGAGAGAATGAAAACTTTTTCAAAAAGCTATAAAAACATGTTACAAAATTAAGACCAAACATGTTGTCTCTATACATGTAAACACATAACCTTATACACATAACCTAAAGGCTGGTAAAAGTAAAAGATTTCAGACTGGATCAGAAAACTGAAACCCAACTCTTAAGTTGTATGTAAGAAGCACACCTAAAACAATGATTTACAAAAGTTGAAAATAAAAGAATGAAAAGATATACTGGACAAAATAAACAGCCCACTTTTTCCTGCTGCATATCAGAGTAGGGACAGCCGAAAAAGCAAAGCATCCCAAGAGGGGCAAGAGGAGCAGCGGCCAGGGCCTTGGTTATCAGTCCCACAAGAGACCTCTACTTTGTGGGTTCTGTCATAGTGATTTGTTACTGTGGCTTCCTAGAATACAAATTCTACAATTTTTATTTGAATTCAATGTATTTGCTATTTAAGAATGAGTTTTAAAATACAAAATGTGACTTAATGATGAGTTTCGGGGTTTTCTTTTTCTTTTCTTTTTTTTTTTTTGAGGCGGAGTTTCACTCTTGTTACCCAGGCTGGAGTGCAATGGCGCTACCTTGGCTCACCGCAACCTCCGCCTCCTGGGTTCAGGCAATTCTCCTGCCTCAGCCTCCTGAGTAGCTGGGATTACAGGCACGCACCACCATGCCCAGCTCATTTTTTTATTTTTAGTAGAGATGGGGTTTCACCATGTTGACCAGGGTGGTCTCGATCTCTTGGCCTTGTGATCCACCCGCCTCGGCCTCCCAAAGTGATGGGATTACAGGCTTGAGCCACTGCGCCCGGCCTTGTTTTTCCTTTTTAATGTCTACATGGAAGAGTTTGATTTTCTGATTGTCTGTTCAGCACACAGCTGCAGATGTGGGCTTAGGTTGTGAAAGTATTTGTTAGTGCCCAAGCATTCAGTCTAGCCTCTTTCTGGTGTGCCCTTATACTACAGAGGCTGGGAAGCTATAAGCGCCATTTCAGACTCCTGCAGCCTACGCTCTGGGAGGAGATGTGCTTCCACTAACTAAGTGAAAGCCTGTAAGACTAAAAGGCGGAGCTGTAGGCCACGACTGCCTCAGCTCCCTTGTATGAAGTTCCCTTCAGATTAGCATGGGTAGTGACTGTTCCTACACCTGGACACAGACTGATCCAGTGACTTAATTTAGGATGGCACATTAGAAATGTTCATGCATGTGTGTTAAATCACTGTGGTTTGTAATTCCATATTAAATAGATTTATATATCGTTCAGCTTTTTTTCCTCTTTCCTTTAAGTTATTGCAGCTAATTGCAAAATCCCAGTTAACTTCATTGAGCGGTGTGGCACAAAAGAATTACTTCAACATTTTGGATAAAATTGTTCAAAAGGGTAAGATGATCACTGTATTTTGAATACTCTAAATCTTAACTAGAAATTTGGTGTAAGGAGATGGGATTTTTCTTTTATCTTTCCCCAGTATGCATGCTGTCAAAAACAATTGTATGAATAATGTGATAACATCAGAAGTACAGGTCATCCCTCCAGTTCTTAGTGTTCTGTTACTGATGTTTACTTTTTTTTAAAGTTGCTTTTGCATGCAAAGGGATATATTAGGAAAAATAATCCTAGAATTAAAAAAAGGTATTGACCTTTTCATGGTTGGCTAATCGGAGTTCATTTTATATGTTTGCTTCCAAAATTAGCAGGATTGTGACTTACTCACTTAGGCATCAAATAAGCCAATAATTTTCTTTTGAATTTAATGAGTTTGCCTGGATAAATTACTGGATGTTAGTAAATGGAACTTTAAATTTCACACCGTGACTTTGTACATACATAGGAATATGTGACTCTGAATTTAAGACATTTTAAAATAGTCTGTTAAGTACAAAAGAAATTATAAACTGACCATTTTAAAGGCAAAATTGTAGACCCAACTGAAAATTTATCAGATAAAATTTTAAAGTTTTAAAAAATCTCATTATATTTGTGATATCTCAAAAATGATGTCACTTTTGGGTTACACAAACTTTTTTATTGTGGTAAATACATATAACATATAAAATTTACCATTTTAGCAGTTTTTAAGCATATAGTTCAGTGACATTAAGTACGTGTCTCTTACTGTGCATTGATACCACCATTCATCTCCAGAACCTCTTCATTTCCCAAACTGAAACTGTGTCATTAAACACCAGTTCCCCATTACGCCTCCCCCAGCCCCGGTAATCATCTGAATTTGACTACTCTATGTGCCTCATATAAGTGGAGTTACATAATATTTGTCCTTTTGTAACTAGCTTATTTCACTTTGCGTAAGGTCTTCAAGGTTCTTCCATGCTAAAGCATATGTCAGAATTTCCCTCCTTTTTAAGGCTGAATAATATGCCATTTCATGTATTGATCACATGTCTGTTCATCTGTCGGTGGACGTTTGGGTTGTGAAACTAGATTATTTTTTAATGTGTTGGTTAACTGTATCCATCATAGTTTTACTTTTATGTATTCCAGTTCTTGATGATCACCACAATCCTCGCCTAATCAAAGATCTTCTGCAAGACCTAAGCTCCACCCTCTGCATTCTTATTAGAGGAGTAGGGAAGTCTGTATTAGTGGGAAACATCAATATTTGGATTTGCCGATTAGAAACTATTCTCACCTGGCAACAACAGCTACAGGATCTTCAGATGACTAAGGTATAAATATCTCTTCACAAGAATTATTACACTTCGTTTTTATATTACAAAAATTGTTATCTCTTCTAAGCATACGTGAAAGACTGCTATAGCTTTTTGAAAGTTTTGTTAACACTTTGATAAACATTCATCACATCGTTTTAAAATAGAATAGGACCAAAGACCCACTAATGGCTTATAGTTGCTATTGGAAAGACAGTGGGAATAGCAGTCATTAAACCAGGCTGATCCTATGGGTGATGAGGTGTAAATTAATTTACCTTCATAGGAAGTATGACTATTTCAGTTATTAGAATAACATTCAGTAAATTAAAGCTAAATTACATTGCCAGTAATTCTCTATTTATTTAGTTCTTCCTTCTCCCAGGTTATTAATTTTTTGTCTTCTTCCTTGCTGCCTTTTTTCGGGATGTGTTTATAGTTCTTGGCAACAATAAACAAGGCCAAAAGAAGGTGCAAATCACCTCAGTTGTTTTTGATATTTTTTCTTTATTCTGGTAACTAGTTTCAACAAGACAAATGTTAACACTATTGCCCCAATATTTTAGATAGTGTTTTATTTATCTCTAGTAATAATAAGAAAGAGTGTAAACTGAAGATATATTTCCGTGGTGTGAGTGATGTAGCCTTTGTGGTACAAAGATTCTGCAGGTTGTACTGGTAGGCTCATAGTTACCTTTTTTCACTGCACCCCAGGTTCCACATTAAAGGAGGGGTTTTCAAGTGCCCTTTGAATGCCTTAACTTTTGGCTGTTAATTTGCCATCTAATATGGGATTTACAAAAAGAGTGATGACTATCTAGTTATAAGTCTGAAATTATCATTAATAATCTAACATTCAGGGTCAGTAGGAGTTAAGCAAGTTTGTTATAAACGTTGGACTGTGTTCTCTTGTCTTGATATGACCCACAGTAGTTCAGAGCTTTGCATAGGCTGGCTCTTCGCTGCTTCTTTTGCTGTGTCCCCCATGCGTAGATGGGTTGTGCTAAAAGTCCATCTGTAAGAAACTTACACATGGCACAGCCTTGCTGTAGAAGTCCTGACATGAGTGGCCAGACCATGTGGCCCAAGTCCCCTAATGAGGCAGATCCATGGTAGTGATGACCAGCTGGTGACCCTCTGGGGAGAGAGTAGGGAATGTTGTTGTCCACAGTGGGTTTTCATGGTCAGAATCCCAAGGAAGAGGGTGTTTGGGGAAGGCCAGAAGTAGCCTTTCTGCTCTGGCTAGGAAGTTCCAGCTAGGATTAGTGGCTCTGCATTCTTTGGAGAGAGATGTGGTTGAATATCAGCCTCAGACCAGTGGGGACAGCAAAGAAGCTCTAAGGGTGGGGCCATACCTCAACAAGTGGAGAGAAAGGAGAAAGCAAGGGAGAGGCTTGTACCTTTGGGTGGGCTGAGGCAGAGCAGGAAGGCACTGCTGTATGTCTTCTTTCTGTTCATACTACCTAAGTAGAGGCCCAGGCTGAGGGATAAAAGGAGTGCATGTGGCCCCAGCTTGCCCCACTCAGGGCTGCCCATAGCCAGTGAAAGGAGAAGACACTCTGCTTTTGGCCTGGAATGGTTCCCACAGTCCTGGTAGGCAGAGCACACTTACATGGCAGTACCTCTCTGCCTCCGCACAGATGGATAGGTGGTACTGTAGCATCATTTCGATCAAGTGGGAAAAATAAGGCACAAAAATGAAATTAATGATTAATGTTTGAGGAATAAGAGCATAGATGATAACACAAAGGTGCCAGTTTTCATCATTTCCACTCACATCTTACTATCAAAGACCTTGAACTTGTTTCTTCTGTTTGATTCACTGTTGCATACTGCCTGGCATCTCTTCACAGCAGTACCTGAGTGCTCTCTGGAGAAGGAGGCATGGCATGTGCCTCTGTGAGGAGCTTGGCTTCTGAACCCTGTGCCCTGCTTTCAGTCTCAAGGAGGGTCAGGTTCCCTTGTAGGAGTTGGCCAGAGGAGTTTTACCTTTCTGGGAATGTTACTTGAAACCAGTAGAAAGAGAACTTTACAGTTCAATTAACCAAGGTGCATTTGTGGATGCCGGACTCAGCCAAATTGGTCTGAGTCTGCTTAACGTGAAGATCTGGTCTCCTGACCTGCTGGCTGATGGTGGATTGCTGCCTCACACTTATTTATATGTAAATTTTCAGGTGACCCAAGCAGATGGGGTTAGAACATAGCAGGTGAGAGCCTCCCTGGATCCCTGAAAGTGGAAGTCTGAGCATACCGCCTGAAGTTCCCCCATCTCAGCCTCACAGGACACAGGGGCCAGGTTTCTCCACTGAGCTGACAATCATCTTTGTCTTCTAGATTATCCCAAGAAGAAATACCTTGACACCCCTGGCTGGGTGCAGTGCCTCACGCCTGTAAACCCAGCATTTTTGGAGGTCGAGGAGGGTGGATCACCTGAGGTCAGGAGTTCAAGACCAGCCTGGCCAATGTGGTGAAACCCCATCTCTACTAAAAATACAAAATTTAGCTGGGTGTGGTGGCAGGCACTTGTAATCCCGGCTACTCAGGAGGCTGAAGCAGGAGAATTGCTTGAACCTGGGAGACGGAGGTTGCAGCGAGCTGAGATTGCGTCACTGCACTCCAGCCTGGGTAACAAGAATGAAACTCCGTCTAAATAAAGAAAAAGAAATGCCTTGACATCCCTTAAATCTAAATTCTCTTAGTCCCAAAAGTGAGCAGAAATGTAATGTATATTCATGTTGAAAAGTTCCTAAGACCATCAGAATTTTTTTTCTTGTAGAACAAGTATACTTTGCTGTTTAAGCTGCATTTGAAGATATGTTAGTGCTGATGAATGAGCTTTCCTGTGCACATCTCTGTGACTCAGTCAGAGTAGGCACACAGGTATGTGTTCACATGCTTCCTCGCCCAGTCAACTCTGCTAGGCCCATTGTGAGGTGGGACACCTGCATTAGCAGGCATGGGCCTTAACATGGGGCCTGCAAGGGCCCCAGGAAGAAGAGCACATGATGCATCACGGAACTCAGTGGGGGTGTTGTAACAGATGCACACAGGGCCGTTGACATTACATTTGTTCACAAGAGATGTGATGTTTTAGGTGGAGCCTAAAGAATGAGGGGAAAGTATCCAGGTGGTGGTATATTAGTCAGTGCTTAACAACCGGCTCTCCAGGGCCAAGAGATTTGATTTGTAGCATTTGTCACTTTCCCACTATGACTGACTTCAAGCCACCAACAATAAGTAAACTGGCTAACAAAATTCCCAGAAGTTACAGAATTGACTCCTGTGAGAAGGTATGGGAACTTCTGCATCTAGGGGCTAAGAGTGTGGTGTGCTAGCAGAAGTGCTTCCACAGAGAAATGGGATTCATTGATAGTAGCACGCAATAGCTGAGACTACCCTAAAGCAAGAAAAGCAGCAGCATCGTTTCTTCCTTCCAGTGCAGTGTAGGTGTGAGAGATTTTATGATGGCAAAGAGCAGGTAGTAAATCAGTGGAGGAGGAGGTGCAGGGAAAAACACAGCAGGATTTCTGACATGTTCAGCAAGACTTCTGTGCCTTGTCACATTTCAAGATTTTGTTTGGATGAGAAGTGCTGGCATTCCTAGCACACCCTCTTGTTATAGCCATTAACAGGGCTGTAAAACTGGACTCTGCCAGAAATCCCAAATGCCAAGTTGTCACACCAGATTCTATAACTATACTAATCCAGTATTTTTTTTTTCTTCATACTACCTTTAAACTTTATGCTTTAGGCAGCAGAATATTTTTAAACTCCAGTCTGCTACGGAAATTTTTCTCAATAGAAGAAAAATGAAGCACCTGGAAGACATAATTCTTGTGAGAGTGTTAGACTTGTTGGGGGTTGATTTGCATGCATGTTACCTTTTTGTTTTGTTGCCCAGGCTGGAGTGCAGTGGTACCGTCATAGCTCACTGCCTTCAACTTCTGGGCTCAGGTGATCCTCCCACTTCAGCCTCCTCGGTTGCTGGGATTATAGGCATGAGCCACCCAGCCTGGCCATATTCTCTTTTCTGTGTACTCTCTGCCATATGCTAGATGATGACGATGAAAGGATGGGTTAAGACTTGAATCAAATGTGTCAGACTCATCGGTGATGAGCAAAGAAGTTTGCGGAGAGCCTATGGGCACCATGCTGGCAGCAGGGGAAGTGATGTCTCTTAGACTGTGCAGCTCCATAGCCTACAACAGGGCTGACATCTGTCCTTTGTGTGGGTCCCATCAGCTGTAGGGGCAAAAAACCCATGTGTCAGGATGAGTGTAAAGGGATGGTACAGGGCAGGACAGTACTGGTGCAGTCCATGAGAGCTTCATGATTCTGTCCAGAATGTTGGAGTGCTTCACAAACTGTCAAGCAGTGTGGAGGCTCCACCCATGTCTGGCAGATGCATAGTGCGCTAGATAAGGTCAAAGGCGGCTTGGAGTGCATCACTGGCGGTCCTTCCTCATGCTCTCCGCTGGGATGCCTGAGAAGGGCCCTGCAGTAGTTTCCACTCTGAAGTCCTAAGAAGGTGCTTCCATAGCAAGGACATTATAGAGAAGCAGGAGAAGAAAATGGGGTGTCAAGGCACAGGTGCCCTATTCACCTCTCCCTACACTCCACTGTTACAGAGGTCAGGTGATTTTGAGAACAACTTCATGGCATTAGCTCATTTTAGCCAAAAAGTACATGGTCACTGTGCTTTACGTGCGGTAGGATTATGGAAGAGCACAACACATCAGAAGGAAGCTCTCGCTCCCTGTGGATGAGTGCGTATGTTGACCTGTTGGGAACAAAAGAAACAAACACAAATCAGAAGCTCACAGGTGAACACATGGGAGAAGCGCCGTCCCAGATTGGGGTCTGGAACCGAGGTGCAACCAGGTAACCTCTGTCCCGCCCAAACAGCCAGAACCCTGCTGTCAGGAAGAGGTTATTGAAGGGATGCATTTAGAGGTAACTGAGGCCTGAAAAGTCTGAAATAGTCTGAGCCTCAAACCCAATCCAGGGCTGTTCCAGGTCAGCCTCAGAGCAGAGTTTAATTTTTGAACTGATTCAGCCCACTTCTTGGGGCCAAGGACAGCCACCCTTCTTCAGCCTGGCGCATGCACACACGTGTATCTTCTGAGGGAAGATGCATTGCATATACTCTCCGGCATGTGTGAGAGAGAACATAGTAAACTTGAAGTCATAGAAATGTAAAGCTGAAGGCGGAGGGATGTTGGGCGGAGGGTGAAAGGTTTCTGTAGTGCAGAAGTAGTGTGTTCTGGAGGTTGTCTACACGGCATGCTGACTGCAGTTAATAATTATACATCCTTTACTTCACATTTACTAAGAGAGTAGATCTTGAATGTTCTCACCACAGAAACAAGAAGATTATGACTTGAAGTGGTAGACAACAAACTGGGCTGTAGCCATTGTTCCATAACACATACAAGTACAGAACACCACGTGCTGCCAATATAGACAGATTTTGTTTATCATTTACACCTCAGTAAAGAAAAAGAAAACAGCCCATAAAGCTAGAAGGGGCTTTGCAGATGACACGGTCAACCTCCCTCATCACTGGGGTGACCAGCAGTGACCCATCAAGGCCTAGGGGCTGTCCAGGCAATCAGACGAGTGTGGCACAGGCCCCCGCCTGCTGCTGGAGATGGTGGTCGTGTTGCCCTCGTGGTGCTTTGGATTCATCTGGGCAGCAGCGCCACATCTGCAGACCTGCCCTTCTCCAGGTGTGTCTTGATGCAGTAGTGGAATGCTGACCTCTTGGTGCTGACAGAGACCTGGCCTCACCCAGTAACAGCCCAGCTCTGTCCTGCCGTGCAGCCCTTCCCAGGGTAGTGGATGCAGGCCCTTGACGCCTTGCGACGCATGACCTGGAGAGCTCCTTTTGTGTTACCATGTTTTGAAACATTGATCCTAGCTTGATTGTTCATCTACTGTGTGAACAGACATTGGCCATCTTCTCAAGGAGATGCCGTTGTGTTTTCCTTTCAGCAAGTGAACAACGGCCTCACCCTCAGCGACCTTCCTCTGCACATGCTGAACAACATCCTATACCGGTTCTCAGATGGATGGGACATCATCACCTTAGGCCAGGTGACCCCCACGTTGTATATGCTCAGTGAAGACAGACAGCTATGGAAGAAGCTATGTCAGTACCATTTTGCTGAAAAGCAGGTGAGTGGGGTGCAGCAGTGTCCCCTCAGGCTGAGAGTTTAGTAGAGTCTGCCTGGGGGCCATACCCTATAAACTCACCTGGAGGGAAAGAATAGCTGGATATTTGCCACTTTTAAAGAACCAGGAACAATCAGAATTTATTGAGATTGCTATGGTTTCTCTCCTATAGAATATAAGGTTTATTTTTCATATTGAAAAAGAACCATGATTCTAAAAATAACCCAAAACTGAACAGCAAAGTAAGAGCCGAGTTCTTTTCTCTCCTCTGTTGATAACGAGGTGCATGGAGTCCCTGGGTTACTGCCTTTTCTCCTGATTTCATGAATCACCTTCCAGTTCTGCTTTTGACCAAGCTGCACATCCTTGAAAAGTCAGGCCCCTTTGTGCACCTCAGTGTTCTCAGCACATGGTAGATGCCGCGCCTGAGTGTGCACAGTGCACCTCCCTCCCTGCCTTGCCTGCTGCCCTTGGGAGTGCATGTGGGGAAGCACAAGGCGTGTTCTGCTGTCACTCTTTGAGGCCTTTCCAGGGTGGTTTATTCATTCCTCACCTCATCCACAGTGAGGCCCTGTGGCCCCGTTCCTGGGCCTCTGCCCAAACTGGGGGTTCCCCTCATCACTCCGCAGACGTACAAGGTACCTGCTCTGCACTGGGCTGGGCAGGGCACAGCCAGGAAAGGCAGGTGGCTAGCAGGAGGCATGTTGCACTCCTCATGGGGTGGGATTTGAACTGTGGTCAGCACCGTGAAGACCTAGAATGGCACTGGGTGCCTTTTATGAGGAGCATGGTCTACCCTTGGAATTCAGGGCAGTCAACAGGGCGTAGGCAGAGAGCAGGACCTTAGCATTAGGAGGATGCTGTTTGAGGGGTGGATGGTGAGGAAGCACGGCAAAGGCCAAACCACATGAAGGATCCTTGTCTGTATCCTGCGAGTTCAGGAGAGCCAGCAAAACACGTGGAATTGCAGCTTTCAGAAGAGCCTCTGTTCTTGTTTGAGGATTAGGCTGGAGTGGACACAACAAGATCCATTAGGATCCTGCCTTGGCAAAAAAAGAAAACAGCCCATAAAGCTAGAAGGGGCTTTGCAGATGACGTGGTTAACCTCCCTCATCACTGGGGTGACCAGCAGTGACCCATCAAGGCCTAGGGCCTGTCCAGGCAACCAGACGAGTGTGGCACAGGCAGGGAAGTGTAAAAGTGCAGTAGGGAAGATGACCCCAATGGGCTGGGGGCTCCCACAGGAGGGGGCTTGCCTGAACAAGGGCCTCATGGAGAGTGTCCAAGAAGTATGTGGAGCTAGGGCCTGGACAGATGCATCTGGAGAGAACAGGAGGCAATGGGTCGGCCTGGGCAGAGCCTGAGGGCACCATCGACAATGTGGAGTAATAGAATGTGGGGCCCCAGAACCAGGGGGAGCTGGATCCTCAAGGCCATGGACAGAGAGATTAATAGGAGGACAAAGAAAAGCCTGTGTGATTTAGCCGAGCAGAGGTTATGGGTACCTTGGGGAAAACTGTCTCAGGTGGACTTATTCCAGAGAAACAGAAGAATTCCAATGTTAATTTGAGTAGGAGATAGTAGATTGAATTTTAAGTCAGCATTGGGCATGTAGGGGATGGTGTGGATAGAATTTGGTAGGGAGGATTTAGATCCTAGGAAAAGAGGTAAATGAAGGTCATCTAGGATGACCCCTCTGCCTCCCAGATTGCCCCGGGACACTCCCTGTAATGCACAGGCCTGAGCTGTTCCCAAAAGGCATTAATGAGAGTGCCTGGCAGGTGTTTATACAATCTGGACCAGAAACATACTTCAGTATGTCTTTTGGCCATTTCTTTGCTCATTGCCATTCTTAAAAGAATTGCTTTAAGTAAGTTAAATGTCTGCTCTGCACTGATATCCTAGAATAGTGAAGTTAGAATTGGTAATTAGTACTTGCAGGTACTCTCATTTGTACACATTTTCTTAACTAAATTATAAAAACGCAGCATCAAAAAATAATGATCTGTTCTTCAGGCCTCAGTAACTAACATTAAGATTCTGAAAATAAAGCATATTAGAAATAACTTTTATGAGAAAGCATAGATAAGGAAGCATCCTCAAAGTAAAAACTAGACACCTGAGAAAACTGGACTGGTTCAAAATAATATGGAAGGAAAAGTCAGCTAAATGCTCTTTACTGGAGCATCTGGTGGGATGTTGCATTTGAGTTCAAAAAAATCACAGGCAGTTATTTAGGAGAAAAACCATGGGGTTGGATTCTCCCTGTTAACACTGGTATAGTACAAAATTAGTCAGAAGTAAGAAATGAGGTAACTAATGGTTGTTTTTAGTCTTTAGAAACTAGTGTTTCAACAGTGCCTGCCTGGAGGACACAGATATTAGTAGTAAATATAACCAGGCTTGTAACTACTTTTAATTTTTCAAGTAGTCTTCTTTTCAAATTTTATTAGAAACAAGATTTCCTCATTGACTCCATGATAATTTCCAAAGCCCCCAAAAGCCATGATGAAAGTATGTTATACAAGTGATTATTTTTAGCTCTGAAAAGTAAGACATGCTCCTTGCAGCAACAGCCCTAAAGACTAGTACAGTGTTGTACAAACAAATTCAAGGCCCCCACTCCAAGGCAGCCCTGTTACTCCTTAAGCCCTGCATTTTGTTTTGTTTCAGGCTTTTATACACACTCAGACATACACATTAATTTATCTAGCTGTGCACTGGTCATTTTCAAAACTATAATTGAAAGTCACTTTGTAATATTGATGTTTTTGGTAACACCTTTTTAAAGATAGCCTCCACTTTATGCAACCATCATGCAGTTGATATTAGGACATTGGCATCTGTATTAGTCCATTCTCATGCTGCTAATAAAGACTGGGTAATTTATTAAGAAAAAGGCCACACAATCATGGTGGAAGGCAAAGAAGGAGCAAAGTCACATCTTACGTGGCAGCAGGCAAGAGAGCATGTGCAAGAGCTTCCCTTTATAAACCAGTCAGATCTTGTGTAACTTACTATCACAAGAACAGCGTGGGAAAGACCTACCACCGTGACTCAGTTACCTCCCACCAGGTCCCTCCCATGACACATTGGAATTACGGGAACTACAGTTTGAGATGTGGGTGTGGACACAGCCAAAACATCAGCATCACCTCAGTAAAAAAAAAAAAAAAAAAGAGAAAAAAAAAAAACACCTGTGCCCTTCAGTTGCCATTTCCAGCCCTAAGCAACCTCCAATCAACTTCTGTCTCTGTATTTCCCTGTTCTGGACATGTAATATAAGTAGAATCTATGGCATTTGTTACCTTGTAACTGGCATCTTTTCCTTTGCATGATGTCCTTACGGTAGCTCCATGTTGTAGAATAAATCAGAGCATCATTCCTTTTTAAGGCTGAATAATATCCCACTCTATGTATATCCACTTTTTGTTTATCCATTCATCAGTTGATTGACATTTAGTTTGTTTGATAAAAGTCTGTGGCCTTTACAAGTAATGCTGCCATGAACATGTTCGAGTTTGTGTGTAGCTGCATGTTTTCATTTCTCTTGGTTATAAACTTAGGAGTAGAATGGCTGAGTCATATGGTGGATTATGTTTAACTTTTTGAGTAATTGCTAGACTGTTTTGCAAAGTGGCTGCAGTAGAGCATCTTTTCATGAGGTTATGTCCATTTATGTGACTTCTTTGGATAAATGTCCTTTGCCCATTTTTTAAATTGTGTTATCTTTTTATTATTGAGTTGTTAAGTGTTCTTTATATATTCTAGATATAAGTCCCTTATCAAATATGTGTGTAACTTATTTTAATTAATAATATGTTATGGACATCATTCCAGATTGTAATATTCAAGTCTGTTTAACAGCTGCTTGGTATTCTAATATACAGGCATAACACAATTTATTTGATTTCTCACTGATTTAATCCAAGTGAGTTTAATTTCAAATAATTGTTTTATGTACTAGACTGCCTTTGAAAAATAATTTTGGATAGAAATGGAGGCCATTATTTTAAGTAAAATAATTTAGGAATGGAAAACCAAATACCATATGTTCCCACTTATAAGTGGGAGCTAAGCACAAAGGCATTCAGACCAATACAATACACATTGGAGACTCAGAAGGGGGAAGGGTAGAATGGGGTGAGGGATGAAACACTACATACTGGGTACAATGCATACTTCTCTAGTGATGCAGGCACTGAAATCCCAGACTTTAGCACTGTACAATTCATCAGTGTAACCAAAACCCACTTGTACCCCTAAAGCTACTGAAGTTACAAAAAAAAAATTAATAAAATGAAAGTTGTACATCTAATTTTATGCTTTGAAACTCATCTTATGCTGATTCTGAATGGAGTTTTGTTTGTTTAGTTTTGTAGACATTTGATCCTTTCAGAAAAAGGACATATTGAGTGGAAGTTGATGTACTTTGCACTTAAGAAACATTACCCAGCAAAGGAGCAGTATGGAGACACGCTGCATTTCTGTCGGCACTGCAGCATTCTCTTTTGGAAGGTACCGATTTAAATACACGCTTGGAATTTCAGGATTAAAATTTGGTAAAACAGACTGATCACCTATATTTTAAGTGTAAGACTAAATGGAAAATACTGTTTGTTATAAGTAAGTTAAGAAGGTATATTTTACCAAATATTGGGGTAGGGGAACAGATGTTCATTCAACTTGTGGCTTAAATCAGAAATGCTGAAAACCAGAACGCTTCTCCTTTTTGCAGAAGTTAGTATGTAGGAGGGCATCGCAGGCGGGTTGCGGCCCCTGGCTTTTCCTGGCAGCGGCTCCAGGGTCCCTGCTGACCCCCAGCCTGAGGTCGAAGGCTGGAGTGTGACCCCTCTGCACATCTGAGGACAAGTGCACCTTCCTCATTTCCCCAGACTTAGCCCTCGGCCCTTCATGTCCCCACCATCTCTGCAAGGCCAGGACCAGCTTAGGCTTCATTTCTCAAAGCTACATTCTTAGAGAAAAAGGGCCCATAGAGAAGTCCCAGATTTTAAAATCTGCATTTTTCTCATTCATATGATCAGAACTTAACGAGACTGTTATTACTTACCTCATCCCTTCATCCAGTTTCTTCCTGTTCTCACCATCCAGACTGTGTATCTGAAAAGAATGTTTTCCACAGTCAGAGGTAAATGTCTATATATGTTTTTTTCTTTTTTTTATTTTCTTTTTGTTTTTTGAGATAGGGTCTCACTCTGTCACCCAGGTTGGAGTGCAGTGTTGTTATCATAACTCACTGCATACTCAACCTCCTGCCTGTTGAATAGCTAGGACTACAGGCAGGTGCTACCATGCTTGGCTAATTCAATCCTTTTTTTTTCTTTTTTTGAAACAGGGTCTTGTTCTGTCACCCAGGCAGTTATGGCTGCAGTGGCACAGTTATGGCTCCCTGCCGCCTCGACTTCTGGGCTCAAGTGATCCTCCCACTTCAGACTTCTGAGTAGCTAGGATGGCAGAGGAGAGCTACCAAGCTCAGCTGATTTTTTTTTGGGGGGTGGGGGTACAGATGAGGTTTTGCCATGTTACCCATGGCTGGTTTCAAACTCCCAAACTCAAGCAATCTATCTGCCTCAGTTTCCCAAACATCTGAACATGTTTGAGGTTGTGAGGTTTCACTGCGGCAGAAGCTGGTCCTGGAGTCACCCTGCTGAGCTGCTGTCTGCTCTGCAGAGGGAGCCCCCACTGACTGTCCCTGGTCTAGATGAGGCCCTGCCTCTTGGAGGAGTGGGCTGTCTCTGCCCTTGCCTTCGCTAGGTCTAGGGACACAAAACTTTTGCCTGATAGACCCCATAACCTATTACGAGTACTTCTTTTGCTTTACATTTATCTAAATTTGTTATCAGATGGGTCCTAAGGCAAGCTCTAGGTTGTTGGAAAGAGACAACTACATTTCATTTTTTCATTTCCAGTTATATAGTGTGGCTTTAAAAATTAATCCATGGTTGAGCAGAGAATGCAAATATCTGTTTTTCTTGCATTATTTTAATAGTTTTATTTGGTATATCAGAGGTAAACAGCATCATGAATAGTTACATGAAAAACTATGAGATTTTATTTCTTATTTATTTTATATTTTGGTATGACTCCTCTTTTCTGAAATTAAAAGGAGTCAGGTTGTATTATGTGTTTTTGCAGTAGTACAGCTGTTTTGTAGAATATTCTCTCTCAAGAGCAGGAACATCTTGATTCCAGTTTATTCTCAACTTGGTGAAGTCAGCAAATCAGTTCATCAGTAAGATTACAGATAAACAAGAGAGAGCCCTCATTCTATTCTTTTCTCCCCAGTTATAGGGCACAAAAAGCACAATATGAAGGTGAGTTGTCAGCAGTAGAAGCCACAGGCAGATGCTTGTGGACAGAAGGAAAGGGGCCAAGTGAGTGAAGTCCAGGTTCTCACCCAGCTCTGACACCTGACCCTGGAGGGAACAGGGCCCCCCTTCTGTGTAGTTCTTTGTAGAACTGACACGTGTTCTACTCTGGAAATATTAAAATACTGAAAACACATGGCTGTGTCTTCAATCACAGAGTAAGAGTGGGCATAATACTGTAATTTCTAATTTGAGTTAGTGCTTCTCCTAAGAGTTACTTTTCTTTTTTCTCCTGAGCAGACTGTTTTGTACTATGAAACTATTAAAAGCAGTGATACTTTTATAGGGGAAAATATCATTCGTAGAAGGGATAGAAGGCTTTCAGTTTAGTATGTGATAGTATTTTTCTTAGAACAATATGTATGAATATTGGAGCTCTCCCTGTCTGTTGAGCACCTAAGGAAGAAATACACACTCCTTCGCCTCTATATTGTTGGGCAGAACAGATCAAGTCTCCCTTATCTGAAATGCTTGGGACTGGAAGTGTTTCAGATTTCAGATTTTTTTCATCTGTGTTTCATATACACAAAGCCTGAAGATAATTTCATACAATGTTTTAGTAATTTTATAATGAAACAAAGTTTGTGTTATGTATTTAACGTGTAATTTTCCACTGCGGCATCGTGTCAGTGCTCAAAAGTTTTGGATTTGGGAACATCTAGTTTCCTGAAATATATAAGTTCTGATTTTTTTTACAAATTGAGAGATGATGCTTAGCCTTCCAAAAGAATTTGCTTTGCCATTCTTGTATTTAGTGAACCTTCTTAACGTTTTTGATCATATCACGGAAATTGAGAACAAGTCTCTCCTAGCAAAGACAGCTGTCCATTTTAGTTCTGGGAGGTTCATGTCTTGTCCCTGGAGGCGTGATGTCCACTTCACTGCAGCTACAGTGAGTGGTCCCATCACAGCTTCTCCCACTGAATATCATTGTAGAAGTCACAGTCCACGTTTTTAGTTCAGAATCCGTGCATGGAAGTATTTGCCTTTCCTCCTAATTTGGCCCCTGAAAATGTCAGGAACTTCTTGTCCTGTCTCCCACTGGCTATCCAGATGTGAGTTGCCTGGTGGGCCAAGCCCAGATTGGAGTCAGGCAGACCTGGACCTGCCTCGGGGTCTCCTGCACTCACTGCCCCTCCTAGGGTCTTGGTTTGACACCATGGCCCACCACACAGAGCTGTGAAGGCTCAACATTCCTGTACCTGGCAACTTGGCACGTAGCTGGTGCTCAGAAAATGGCACTTAGCCTTAGGGTTACTGCTTTGTTTTTTTTTTTTTTGGTGGTGTTTGTGTAGCATCCGGTAGTTTGTGTTGACTGAGAAACCAGAGTAATATCAAAGCTATTAAAACGAAGCTGGGTGTTGGTGACTCTGAATCCTTACCTGGCCCTGGGACTTGGTCATGAGCTGACACCATGGTGCATCTGTTTGTGTCCACATTTTGTCACTTCCCACAGTACATAAGCCTGGAGCTCTCCAGTCAGCAGTGCTGTGGAGCCACTTCATCTGCTCCCAAGCTGGTTTCCCATCTGTTCTGGCTCTACTATATTGGAGCTATTTTTTAACTTGTCTACCTGCTTTGGTTAGCCTTCACACAGTCTGTAATAACTGGGCTGAGTTAAGCTCTACAGCCAAAGACTCTACAGTGACCCTGGAAGGGTCCACTGGTGCACGCTGCACTCAGGGTCACTGAGAGGGATGGTGTTTTCTCCCTGCTGTTCCAAACCTCAGTTAAAAACTGTAGACTTGTAGGCTGAGTCAGGGAAGCCAGCATGAGGGTTTGGCATTTTTATGTCCTGTTTGTTTCTTGATGTATCACTTGCCGGTATAGAGGACTGGACACCTGGTGTTCACCCCACAGGGCTGTATGGACATCAGGAGCAAAGTTGGAGCCAGAATCTAAGATGAGGCCTCCACGTACTGGTGGTCCTGGTCTTGCGAGGAAGCTCCTTTGCTGGTAGCAGCCTGAACCAGCGGGGAAAAAAGCACAGGGGGTAGCAGCTGAGGCTTGGTTCTGTATCGGAAAGTGGCCTCCACTGGCCTGGAGAAAGAAGGGTCAGAGGTGGAGGCTGGCTTAAGGGCATGTGTGAAATTGAGTTCATGTGCATTATTTAGCAAAGAGAAGACCCTCTGGACATTAAAGGACAAGGAACTTTCCCCCCAAAAAAATCAACTATGAAGTTTTAATATAAGCGGCACATGGAAATATCAGCATTTCTTTTAGAGGGAATACTTTTGAAGATTATTTACCACTGTAGCCTTATTAGTTGCCAATTTGAGAGACTTAAAGGTGCAGATATATTTAAGACTGTGTCTTCAAGTAGTTTGGGAATTTCCGTTATCCGATGAGACCTTGTTTGCTTACTTTTAATAACCTTGTACTGTCCAAATTCAGTTACCTGATGTTTTTAGTTATTTTTGTAAATAATATGAATCAAACCTGAATGCCTAAATACAGTCTGGCTCTTTCTAATCTTAACGTTTCCTTTTTTTTCCCTCCCTTTACTGCGTTCCTTCCTGATTCTTTCTTCATGATCTCAAAGGACTACCATCTTGCTTTACTATTCAAGGTACTTTCCTGTCTTGCCACACGTCATGTGTTCGGGATGAAAACGCTGCATTATGTTGCATTTCATGCACGTCGTCCTGACCACTGCCTGGCTTGATTCAGCTTTCATTGACTTGAGCTTTCTCAGGACCCTGAGCAGGGCTGAGTGGCCACTTTGATCACCTCATCAAGAACCAGCGTGTTCATGAAATACTTTGCAGACCAATGCCTGCGTGCTTAGGGAGGGTGCTAGACAAGCCCGTAAACACTTCATTCAGATGAAACTCACCACACAGCCCCTGGGATGTGGCAGCACTGCCAGGGCATGCCATGGAGAGACCCAGCATTGACCCCAGAGCCTCCGGTCCCATTTACCTATGTTCCTCCTATGATTCTGTGAGTCTTCATCTGCAAAATTAATTCTTCTTTCATCACTTCTCATATTAAATATAATTTTGGATCTTTAGATACATGAGATGGCCAGCTCCCTTGGAGCAAGCAGGAGCTTCAGGGGCTGAGGCCATATGTCCCTACTCTCCTCCTGTTCTAGGCAGGGAGTGCAAGCTGATTCAGGGATGAATGGTGGGTGGAGGGGACCCTGTGTAACAAAGTAAACCAGGAGCAGGACAGCAGGACAAAGGAATGGGCGGGACCAGAGGACACAAAGTCCCCAGTGGTTTCTTCTGTGGCCTCATAGATTCTGGGGCAGTGCAGGGTGGTATTGGCACCTGGCTCCTGACTCAATACCAGATTCGGCATTAGAGGGGCTGACCTGGGGCCACCATCTCCTGTCCTACCTGAGCAAGAGTTCATGGGAAACCTCTATGTAGAATCGGCTGTGGCTGCCCTTGTGTTGATCATGCCCATCCAAGTTACCTCCCACGTACCTCTGAGGTTGGGCTCCGGGTCCACTAACAAGCAGCTTATGATCCTCAACCACCATCACTGGAGTGTGGCTGGTGGTGGGGCCCCCTCCTAACCATCTTCCTCCTCCCGACAGGACTCAGGACACCCCTGCACGGCGGCTGATCCCGACAGCTGCTTCACACCTGTGTCTCCGCAGCACTTCATCGACCTCTTCAAGTTTTAAGGGCTGCCCCTGCCATCCCTATTGGAGACTGTGCATCATGCCCTCTGTGCGGGGCTCATAGTGAGTGTTCTGTGGGGTGGGTGGATGCCCCTGGAAAGCTTCCAGAAAGACTGGGAAGAACTGCCCCCTGTGCCACAAGCCACAACCACGAAAGTGCATGGTTGCATTTTCATTGAAGGAGGTCAGGAGCCAAACAAAGCATTTCTACTTCTTTAAAAACTCTTCTTGTGAGCATATTAAAATGTGCAATTTTGGATATGATATATATAGTTCAAAAATATTTCAGATGGTCAGCTCCACATTCTGTGTTGATCTGACACTAATGGCCAATAATGATGCTTCTTAATTGTCAAATTACAGTTTCCCAATTTTATACTAATTGTGGGTGGGTGACAAAACAGTTGATCCTTGTAAATACATTGTACAGAATATTTATTTTTTCTCAAAATGCATTTTAACTACTATATTGGCTGTGCCCAAATGAGTCCTCTTTGAATACAAAGTGAACCTAGGGCAGTGATAGTCATTCTTGTCTTAAGACTCTGGATTGGGGTATGAATTGTGCACATGCAGCCCAACAATGGGCAGCGGCCTCTGTGCTCGTAGGTGTCCAGCACAGGCTTTGGCAGAATACCCCTGCTGGGGGTGGGGCTTGTCTGTGCATAATCCTGGACTGTGATGGGAACAGCCCATCGTAGTCTAAACTTCACTTGTGTTGAAACTACTTTTATAGACAAGTAATAAATCTTGATTATTGACTGAAACTTCATCAGTTTTGCATCCTACTGAGAAATGTTAGTGATTTTGATAAGTCCTTAAAAGATTGTTTTGTTTTTAAAATAACGCATGTCTGTTTCAGAAAATTAGAAGATCAATCCCACCACCCAAAGATTATTGTGCATGCTGAAAAGAATGTGAAAAATTCCCCAGCAGGCATAGGGTAGAAATGTGTTGTTGTATATTTCCATTTTTGAATAGGGTCAAGGAACCCAAGCAAATCATTTCTACCTTTTTTCCTCTAAGCATAATAAAATTGTAATTTTATAGCTTTATAAATAGGAATAAAAAAAGATTCTGGATTTTTCAACCCCACTTCTGTGAACTGACACAAATGGCCAAGAATGAATTTATTTGTCAAATTCTAGTTTCCCCTGTGGTGATGCAAATACTTGGGCCTTCATGAATATATGTTAGAGTAAGAGTTCTTCATAAAACCATAAATGCTCTGTATACCACTGTTACTTCGCAAACCACCATTCCCCCAGCTGCCTTTTTTAGAAACACAGACCCATATCCTAAATGTTATTTGGAAACTTGGTTTTTATTAACTTTATTAGCTCCACAGAATCACCCAGATCGAACAGTCTTTAATTATCATAGCATACTGGGGTTCCTGAGGGTTTCACTGTTAGCATCAATAACTGTGGTAAGCATCGTCACACATCGTGGCCACCTCCTTACAATAACACCAATAGTACAGCCAACATCATGAGTCAAACATATTTTAAGGGTTTTATATTTCTAGATTATGAAAAAAAATTTTTTGGAGTTTATTTGTTTTTCAGACGGGTTCTTAGTCTGTCACCCAGGCTGGAGTGTAGTGGTATGATCTCAGCTCACTGCAACCTGTTTCCCTGGCTCAAGTGATCCTCCCACCTCAGCCTCTCAAATAGTCGGGACCACAGGCATGTACTGCCATTCCAAGGCTTTTTTTTTTTTTTTTTGTATTTTTAGTAAAGATGGGGTTTCACCATGTTGCCCAGGCTGGTCTCAAACTCCTGAGGTCAAGCAATCCACCTGCCTCAGCTTCCCAAAGTGCTGGGATTGCAGGCATGAGGCACTGCATTCAGCTGAAAAAAGAAATTGTTTTATTCTAGGAGAGGGAGTGAGTACGTTGAGTTTCCATTATCCTTGAAGCACAGGTATTTCTTTTTCTGTTGGTGCTGTTTTAATAAGTGAAGGATTTGATGTGTGGTTCACTGTGAACTTGAACATTTCCATATATTTGTTGTCCATTTGATTTGTCTTGTTTTTGGTGAATTACTTAATGTGTTATTTCCTGTTTTTTTTGGCGGGGGTTGGGGGGTGGTAGTCTTTTTTTGCATTAGTTTCTTCTTAAAAGGAAACTAACCTTTTGAAGTTGTGCTTCTTTCCCTTAATTTGTCATATACTGTTACTGTCATTTAATTGTTAGATGTTCTAACAATTCTCATCTGTGCTGTAGAATCACAGATACTTGTATAAATTGAGCAGTATTTACTTGGAAAATATAACCATATTAATAGTGTATGATTCCAGCTGTTCTGCTGGGATGGCATATTTCCACAGGCCAGGGACACAGCTGCCCGCACTGCCAGTGCATGGGTTACAGCCTTCTGCAGGTGCATTCAAGAGACAAGTTGTGGGAGCTGGGCAGGTAAGCAGGGATGGCTTACATTGCTGGGGAGAGATTGAAAGGTGAATAGAGGGTGTATAAAGACAGACTAAAGACAGTTTTGAGTCACTGATAAGTTATTTACAGATCAGAAAACACCAAATGGAGATGAGAAGAGGAATCATAATTTCCACATTGCAATGGTATTTTTGAATACAGTTTCTGTCAGAGGGCCTAACAAAAGTAGGGATGCCACTCCTGAGAGATTAAACTACATTCTGATGCCTTCATTGCAATGAAGTTCTAACTCAGGACACCAAGAGCCTAAAGCCAGACTAAGTTTCACATGCCCATTATCCCTGCTAAAGGCAATGCTGGACACACTCAATATAGAATCTCCAGGCATTCCTGGATCCGTTCCCAGTCCACGCTGCTCACTCAGGGCTGTTGTCTGTTGACACCCAGTTGCAACTTCCTTTTGCCTATTTTGAGAGTCAAAAACTCACATTCCTCACCTAATCTATGAATATACGCAAATCAGAAAGCCACCCAGCAGCTCTCAGGAGCAGACCTAGGTGTAGCTGTCGTAGTTTGCCGCACGATGTATAGCACCTGTGTATGCACTGTATGTGTGTACTATACAGGGCTGTATACAGAAAATCGTGTTTACTTCATGGAAAAAATTGAATCATCTGTGAACAATTTTTGCCTTAAATGCTGCTCTTAGAACCAAATTATCATAAGATTTTTGTATACTGCATCCTTGCTGAAATAATTTATCAGCTCTCTTAACACCTTTGTAGATTCCTTATGACCCTATGTACAAAATCATGTCATCTGTGAATAGACAGTTTCACTTCTTTATTCTTCTTTCTTGCCCCACTTTGCTGGCTAGAATCTCTAGTACAGTGTTGAACAGCAGTGCAAGAGCAAACATCCTTGTCTTGTTCCTCATCTTAGGGGAAACTTTCAGTCTCACCATTAACTAGGATGTTAACCCTGGGTTTCCCATAGATACCCTGTAGCAGGTTGGGGAAGTTCCCTTCTATTCTTAGTTGTTTTTATCATGAAAGGGTGATGGATTTTGTCAAATGCCTTTTCTGCATCTCTTGAAAAAGATGTGGTGTTTGGCCCTCATAAGATCAATGTGCTGTTATTACATTGACTTCTGTATCTTGAACCAACTTTGCATTCTTGGGCCAAAGCCCACTAAGTCATGGTTTGTGATACCTTTTATACATAGCTGTTGGATTTGGTGTCCTGTAACAGCCCTCTGTATCTGCAGGGGATTGGTTCCAGGACCACCTCCCCACCCCACCCACCTTGTGATCTTTTGGGTTTTGGTGTCAGTCTCATAGGATAAGCTTAGAAAGTGTTCCCTCTTCTGTGTTTTCAAAGAGTTTGTGAAGGTTTCTTGTTAATTCTTCTTTGAGAGAACTTATATGATTTGAAGTCACTGAGAAGCTTCAGTTATCTTCCCTTTTGGAAATGTGTTTATCTTACTACCCTTTAAGAGGATAAGACCATTTTTTCCCCAGAGATGTCTTTTAACAATTTTTCTTTTCATTGTGAAGGCATAACCTAATAGATAAATGGACTGTGAAACTTAGTCTCTTTTGCTTATCTCCAGAATTATCAAAAGGAAAGGGTGCTGCCCTCTGAAAATCACAATTTTAAAAGGCAGGAGTCAGCTTGGCTTGACTTTAATCTCCCTCTCTTCATTATGATGTGTGCATGTGCTGGACACCACTCACCTCCCTTTAGTCCCTATCTAGTGCAATATCAAATGCTACCCAACAACCAAGCCAAGGGATTAGCAACAAGGAGGGAAAGAAAGAAGGACCTGTATCCATGACCTACCAGCACCAGCCATTGGGGCCTCTGATGGCTGACACCAGCATCCACCCTGCTCTCAACCTCCCTGCATCCATGTCTATCCCAACACAGTTGCTGCTTCTGTCTTCACTCACGCCCCACTCCTTGTCCCTTCCTGTTGTCTCTGCATAGAGGAAGCAGACCCTCAACTTTGAAAAGCACTGTGCCCCACATCCCATGGGCTAAATTCTACTGAGCTAGTAGGAGCTGCTCAAGTGTAGCCTCTGCCTCCAGAATTCTAGCAGGAACTGCAATGCTGTCTGCCTAAAATTAAAGCCCTGGCTCACAGCATGAGACTGTGTGTTCTAGCTGGTGATGTGGTGCCTGCACACACACCCCTGGCAGTCCTCTCTAAACTCAGGCAGTGCGTGGCTGCTGTCATTCCTACCTTCAGCATCCGTGAGATGAGGGAGTTGCTCCCCAGTGCACCTGCCCAGATACAGGCCACATGGATCTGCCATTGCTTTTCACAGGAGCGTCTAGAAGAGGCCATTAACCATCCCAGTTGTCCTTTTTGTCCTTGGTCCTCTCCCTTCCAATCCCCACTGGCTCAAATCCACAGAGTGACAAAAGAGATGCCCAGAGCATCAGCTGGAGTGGCAAGTGTGAGAAGGTGCTGCTGGTGCCACAGGGGTCTTGCGCTAGCGTTCGCACCGTAACCAGGGTTCACTGAGGAGTGGGTTCCTTTGAAATGTTCTTGTTCTTATAAGGGTGAGCAAAAAAAAATGAGGGCATCTATATCAAAGAAGAGAGATACCTCAACTGTCTCATTTTTGCATGGAAATTTTATTTTTATTTGATAATCATTTGAGAAACTTGCACAGATAAAGGCAAGTTGGTTTTATTATTTTTTTCTAATGTCATTTGAAAGAATTTAACTTTTGTTAAAATACACATAAAATTTACCATCTTATCCATTTTAGGTGTGCAGTTTAGTGGCATTAAATACATTCATATTGTGCACCCTTCTCTACTATGTATCCCTAAGTTCAGGTTACAAGATAAGCTTTTGTCATCTTGTAAAACTGAAGTTCTGTACCCATTAAGCACCAACTCCCTATTCCCATCCACCAGCCCCTGGCAGCCTCTGTTCTACTTTGTCTCTTTGACTACTTAGGGACCTCGTCTGAGTGGAATCAGGGAGATTTGTCATTTTGTGACTGGCATATTGCACTCAGCATAATGTCCTCAAGGTTCATGCAAGTTGTAGCATGTGTCAGGATTTCTTTTAAAGGCTGATGATACTCAGTTCTACTGATAGAGCACATTTTGTTTGTGCATTCCTCTGTTGATGGACACTTGAGTTGCTTCCACCTTTTAGCTATTGTGAATATTGCTGCCGTAAACATGGGTGTGCAAATCTCTGAACCTCTGCTTTCAATCATATGGCAATTCTATGTTTAATTTCTTAGGGAACTGTTACAACTGTTTTCCATGGTGGGTGCACCATTTTACATTCCCACTGAAGGTTCCAATTTCTCCACATTTTTGCCAGCACCTGTTTTTGTTGTAATAATTGCCATCCTATTGAGTGTGACATGGTATCTATCCTACTGTGATTTTTATATGCATTTCCCTGATGACTAGTGATGTTGATTTTATTTGTTTGTTGGCCATTTATATGTCTTTTTTGGAGAAATGTCTGTTCAGGCCCTTTTTCCATTTTTCAGTCAGGTGTGCATTTTTGTTGTTGAGTTCCAAGAGGTCTTTATGTTTTGGGTATTCACCCCTATCAAAATATGTCATTTGCAAATACTTTATCCTAGTCCAAGGACTGGTTGCACTCTGTTTTGTCCTTTGATGCACAGAAGTGGTTTCTCTCTTTTAGTTAGCTGTGGCTCTGGTGTCATAGCTAAGAAATTATTGCCAAATCCAATGTTAAAATTTTACGTTTCTCCTAAATGTTTTAGTTTTACCTCTTAGTTTAGGCCTTTGATCCATTTTAACTTTTATATATGGTGTGAGGTAGATCCAACTTGATGTGGAAGACCAGCTGTCTAGCACCATTTGTTGAAAAGACTGTTCTTTCTCCCTTGAATGGTCTTGGCACTGTCAAAAATCATTTTACCCATAAGTGGAAGGGTTTATTTGGGGGTTTGCTATTGTATTCCATTGGTCTGTATGATTGTCTTTGTTTCAGTACAACACCATTTTGATTATTGCAGGTAGGTTTGTCATAAGTTTTGAAATAAGGATATGAGAGCCCCTACTTTGTTCCCTTTCAAGATTGTTTTGGTTGTGTGAGGTCTCTGGAGATTCCCTGAGTTTCAGGATGGATTGTTCTGAAAATGCCACTGGGATATTTTGATAGGAATTGCATGAAATCTGCAGATTGCTTTGAACTCTGGACATCTTAACTATATTAAGGCGTCCAATTCACAAACAGATTGCTTTCTGTTTATTTGTGTTGACTTTACTTTCTTTCAGCAATGTTTTATGGTTTTCAGTGTGCAAGTTTTTTACCTCCTTAAGTTTATTCCTAAATACTTCAATTTTTTGTTACTAGTATCAATTGAATTTTCTTAATTTCCTTTTGAGCTTGCTTGTTATTGTATAGAAATATCATGGATTTGTTATGTTGATATTGTAACCTGCAATGTTACTGAAATGGTTTATTCAGTTTTTTTATATATGTATGAACTCCAGGATTTTCTATATACATGACATGATTTTCAGATCATGTCATCTGAAAACAGATAATTTTGCTTCTTCCTTTCCAGTTTGGATGCCTTGTATTTCTTTTTCTTGCCTATTTGCTCTGGCTAAGCCTCCAGTACTGTGTTGAATAGAAGTGGTGAGATGATGTGGTATTTATGTGTTGTTCTTGATTTTAAAATAGGTGCTTTCAGTCTTACTGAATATGATGTTTACAGTGGGATTTTCATATGGTCTCTCCTATGTTGAGGTAGTTTCCTTCTGTTCCTAGTTGTTGAGTTTTTATCATGAAAGGATATGAGACTGTGAAATGCTTTTTCTGCATTAATTGGGATCATATTTTTTTCCTTTATTCTGTTAATATAATGTGTATTACATTTATTGACCTGAGCATTTTGAAACTTTGTTGCATCCCAGCTATAAATCTCACTTGGCCATGATGTGTAATCCTTTCAATGTGCCGTTGAATCCTGTTGGCCAGTATTTTGTTGAATATCAATAACAAAAATCTTGATTAGGAATACTGGTATGTGGTGTTCTTTTCTTGTCTGGTTTTGGTATCAGAATAACGCCAGGCTCATAGAATGCATTTGGAAGTCTCCTTTCCTCCGCCTCAGTTTTTTTAGAAGTGTTTGAGGAGAATTGATATAATTCTTCAAAAGTTGGGTAGAATTCTACAGTGAAGCCATATGGCCCTGGGGTTTTCTTTGTGGGGAGGTTTTTCATTACTAATTCAGTTTCTTGACTACCGCAGGTCTCTTCAGGTTTTCCATTTCTTCATGATTCAATCTTGATAGGTTGGATGTTTCTAAGAATTTGTCCAGTTCATCTAGGTTATGCAGTTCATTGATACATAACTGCTCATAGTATTCTTAATACCTTTTATTTCTGTAAAATCAGTTGTAATGTCCCCTCCTTCTGGTTTTATTTTTCTTCGTCACACTAGCGGGAAGTTTGTCAGTTTGGGTTGACCCAACAAACTTGGTTTCGTTTATTTTTCTCTCTTGCTTTTCTCTTTTCTATTTTGTCTCTGCCCTCATCTTTATTATTTCCTCTATTCTGCTGGTTTTGGGTTGTTTGCTCTTCTTTTTCTTCTAGTTAATTCAGATATAAATTTAGGGTTGACTTGAGATCTTAATTTTTTAAGTATTTGTATGTTCAGTTACAAATTTCCCTACCATTGCCTTCACTGTATCTTTTTGTATGTTATGTTTAAATTTTCATTTATCTCAAGATATATTCTAATATCTCTGTTAATCCACTGGTTGAGAGTATTGTTTAATTTTCACATAATTTTATACTTTTTGTTTTTTCTTCTGTTACTGATTTCTAGTTTCAGCCCACTGTGGCCAGAAAAGATACTTTTTATTTTTTTAGTCTTTTGAAATTTTTTGTTCTGTGGTCTAACATGCTGTCTATCCTAGAGAAAGGTCCATTTGCACTTGAGAAAAATGTATATACTGCTGTTGTTTGGTGGAGTGTTCTGTATATGTCTGTTAGGTCCAGTTGTTAGGTACGACACTGTTCAAGTTTTGTCTTATGACTGATCCTCTGGTTGTCCTGTCCATTACTGCTACTGGGCTATTGAAGTCTCCTACTCTTATTATAGAACTATCCATTTCTTCCTTCGATTTTGTTTCATGTATTTTTGGGTTCTGATGTTTGGTGCGTATATATTCCATCTTCTTGGTGAGTTTTCAGTTTTTTAAATGTCAACAGCATGAAGATAAAATTATAGGACGTCTGGAATTTCCTTTGAATCCGTAGGGCTAGGAGTAAGTATAGATAAAACAAGATTGGCTGGGAATTTGAGGCTGCAAGGATAGGTACACATTGAGATGTAGAGCAGGGCACAATACTTTTTCTGTAAAGGAGCAGATGGTAAATATTGTTGGCTTTTCCAGCCATGTGGCTCTCTTGCTGTAGTACTATGAAGATACTCTTTGCAGTAGTATCATGAAGCAGCCACCAGGGAGCCACACACCAGTATGTGTGACTGTGTTCAGGTCAAACTCTATGGACACTGAAATCTGAATTTCACATGTTTTTCATATGTCATTAAATACTACCCTTTTATATTTTTTCACCATTGAAAAATGTAAAAATCATTCTTAACGTGGGCTGTGCAAAAACAGGTGGTGGTCCAAATTTGGCCTGTAGGCTATAGCTTGCCAACCCAATTTATACTTTTGTCTTTTTTGGAACTATTTGGTATTTTCAATTAAAAGTTTATCAACATTACTTTTTGTACTTGTTACTGTTTTATTGTAAAAATAATGTGTTTTCATTGTAGAAAGTTTTTTTTAAAGGCAAAATACACAAATATGTTACCTATGAATTATGAGAATTACTTCAAGGTAATTATTATTTTGAAATATGTTTTCAGTGTTTTCTCTTACATTGCTTTTTACCATGCATAACATGATCCCAAATAAACAGTTAAATATTAGGACACATACCACCCTTTTTCCCCTTTCGTCCAGAAACTCACACGTGGAGCTCCAGAGGGAACTGCCTTCTTGCAGTTCTCTAGCCTCTACTCTCAAGGGAAAGATGTGCATCTTCGTGATGAGCCTTGAAAAATTCTTACCATTTCCTTCTGTCTTAAACAGCACCAGTTTTAAAGTCTCCAAGGAGAAGAGATTTCTGAAACGCAAGTTTCCAAAGAATAAAAAAATTGCTTCTCAGAACTCAAAGCAAATGGTATTTCCCATCACTCCATCCTATCCAGATTTGTTCAGCTTCCTTGAAAATAATTTCTGTAAATTTTTAAAATCATATTTTCCTAAAATTCTAAACAAAAATAATGCCAAAGGGATCAATATCATCGCTTGTTGTCGAAGCTAAAATTCTACTCAGCCTTTATCAGTAAGTGAAAATATCTTTGCAACTCTGAAAAACCATGCTGAGACATTAATTTTTAAATACTTAAATGGGAGCCAGGTGCAGTCACTCACACCTGTAATCCCAGCATTTGGGGAAGCCAAGGCCAGAGGATTGCTTGAGGCCAGGAGTTTAAGAGCAGCATAGGCAATATAGCAAGATCTCATCTCTACACACACACACAAAAATTAGCCAGGCATGGTGGCCCACCAATAGTCCCAGCTCCCAGAGGTGGAGGCCGCAGTGAACTCTGATCATGCCACTGACACTCTGTGGCCCTGCTGTGCACAGGGGCCCAGGAGCTGCCCTGAAAGACAGCAGCAGCTTGGATGGACCGAGCTTTAGAACCAACTTCCTGCTTGTAGTGAGTGCAAACGATGCAGGAGTGAAACACCTCAAACAAACAGTGTGTTCAGGAAAAGCTGGGAGGGAAGGGACACAAGGGCTCCTGCTTCCAACATCAAAAGATTTCAGAGATAGAACCACCACATGATACATGATCATGGACTGGCGGGGAGAAAAGCAGCTAAATGGTATGGGAACGTGTGTGTGTGTGTGTGTGTGTGTGTGAGATAGGAAATTAATTTTGTTAATTGTGTCTCTTTCAGAAATACATGTTGAAGTACTTGGGGGCTGATATGGTGTTTAGTTTACTTTTAGATATGTATGCACACAAAGCGAGTAAGAAAAACAATTATTGAATCTCAGTAGCTGCGTTTATGGGTGTCCATTGTACTAAATGCTTTTGCATAGTTTTTTATTTTCATCATTAAAAAAAAAAAACACTTAAAAACTGAAATACTTGTCAATCCCCCACCCCGAAAAAAAAAAAAAAACAAATTGAAATACACCTGGTTAATCATGAGAATTAACCACTACTTAGAGGATTAAGTGTGATTTGTTTCTCGTCCTTCACCCCTCTGGCCTCAGGAATTGAAAACACTTTAAAAGGAGAAAAACTGTGACCACAAGCCTATACTCGTGATCTCATCCTGTCTGCTTCTTGTGTCAGAGCCACTGAGGGAAAAATCACTATTTAAATTGTCAAAATGCCTAGGCACAATGGCCTACACCTGTAATCCCAGCACTTCAGGAAACTGAGGCAGGAGGATCACTTGAGCCCAGGAGTTGGAGGTTGTACTGAGCCCTGACATGCCACTGCATTCCAGCCTGGGTGACAGCAAGACCCTACCTCCAAAAAACATTTTTTAATAAAAACAAAAAGTAAATTGTCACATATTCCTAAGATGCATTAGGCTTTGCTGGGAGATGGCCTTTCGTGTTCACCATTGAGCTTAGCATTTCCTGCTGTTAAAATTAGAATAACCTTTATTCAGGATGTGCCCCTCTGAGATGAAACGGATGTCAGATTCTGGGAGCCAGAGGAACACACTGCGACGCACTTCCAGACTCGGAGGAAGAGGGATCAGGCACACAGACTCTCAGGAAGACGTCCAGGGCCGGGGGACAATCATTGTATGTTCACCATCAGCTCTGACAGCGTGGCTTGAAGTTTCCTTCTAAGGACAGAGACTGAGCAGAGAATCCATGTGTCCTGTTCAAAAAGGATAAAAGCAGAATGTGCAGGAACCTGTGCAAATGAACCCATGACCCTAGACAGCCAGCAGACTTTAAAAATGAATTCCAGATACAAGCCTGTATTCTTAATCACCTGCCTAAGGCTGCCATGGACCAAATTCTGAAAGATACCTTGTTGCCCTAGAAATGTCTCCCAAAACTCAGTAAGCCACTAGTTTCCCGACTGTCCAGAGACTTGGCTCCCACCTCCCCCAATTACATTACCTTTTGCCATCAAATCCATGCTCCACACAATGAGGAAAATAGCACCTAATTCTGATTCACGAAAACATCTACCCATGTGACAGTGCCCTACAGGGCCCAGCCTTGGCCTTAGGAGAAGGCCAGGGTTGGGGGTATGACACTAGCCCCGCTCAAGAGGTGTGCCTCACCTCAGACAACCTCCCCAGTCCTTACTCGGATGAGGTAGAAATGCCACTAGCTCTACTTGTTGACATGGGGACATTGATCCTCTCTAGGGTTGAGAACCAGGATTTAGACCCAGAAATGGACTTCATGGCCTCAAGGGAGAAAAAGCAAGAGCAGAGCACAAAATGAACAGGAAGGGACCGCAATGGACAGTGGGTCACAGAAGAGGGCCTGTTTCAGAAGAAAGCAGCAGCCTCTTAGGAGTGACACACAGGTGAGAGGAACTGTGGGTCAGGGCACCAAGGAGCCAGCCAGGCAAGCAGGGCCCTTGGTGGCACATGTGCCTCAGGATCTGCAAGAGGATTCAGTGAAAGTGCATGCCCAGAAGCTGCAGGTGAGCCTGCCGAGAACACCTCCCACGTTGAGTTGCCCCACACTCTCCAGGCTCAGCCCCTTGCTGGGTTGCCTGGCAGTTCCAGCCCTGCAGTCCCTCACGGGGCTGTGGGCCTCCCACCTTGCCCATCTCTGTCCTCACCCACCAGCTTCCTCAGCAAGTAATTCTTTAAAGTGAATCCATTTAAAGAATGTTAAATATGTTATAGATGGCACTTGTGTGACAAAAATGAAAATTCCAACAACCACCACACCCTCAGACTTTTCTCACGTAAATGGAAGAGCGTTTCAAAACCTCAGTGGCACATACTGCCAGGGCCAGGCTCCTTCCATCTGCCCCCTGGCCACAGTGCTCAGCCCTGAGGAACCAGTGCAGCTGCCATGCGGGCATCTCCTGTGGGCATCTTGTGAGGGTGGCTGTCGTGCAGTGGCTGCAGAGGAAGCAGCCGTGGTATCGGGCTGGGAGGCAGCAGGCACGGGACCCAAAGGTAGTCACTGTCACCTGGGCCTACAAACCCTAGGGACCATGTCCCAAAGGAAGCACCACCCTGGGCCAAGACCCTGTAACTCTAGAGCAGCTTTGGGAAGATGCTTTCATGTAGACTGGAGGGAGGCAAAAGTAGTTTCCTGGCACTTGGGTGGTAGGTGGCAGGGGCTGCATATGGAGCTGGGATACTGGCCTGAAGGCTGATAGCTCTTCACCGAGAACACCCCAGACCCCGACCTCAGCAGCATGCACGGGTTGGGGAGGATATGCCTTTAAGACGATTGTTTTAAGTATTTAATAGAAGGTACTGCAGTTGGGCCAGGCTGAGGCCGGGCCCACAAGTGGATCCCCCAACAGCACAGCTCAGATCAGTAGAGGCCCAGAGTAGCAAGTTGCCCAGGCCACACTCACGTTGCTGGCACAGGCCATGGCCTCCTGAGACAGTACTCAGGCCACCACACACCTTATGAGGGATGCCATCCACCCAGCCAGGGGAGGCCCAGACTTGACACAGAGGCCCCAGAACCACACAGCACCAACGCCCATCAGGGCCTCGCAGCTTCCAAACAAGCTCAAGGCCAAACAGCCGTCTGCCTTGGTGCAAAGATCCAAGATCTTTAGATTCAGAATCTAACCCCAAAACCCACACCAGAGGGAGACCTTGCCGAAGGTCATGGTGGTAGGGGGACGGAGGTGGTGCCTTCCAGAAGGGAGCCCTGACACCCTCATAGTGGCTCAGACCTGGTGCAGGCATGGCCCTCGTGCTGAGACTCTGGGGATGTGGCCTTGGCCTCTAACCTGCGCATCCTGAGCAGGCTGTCCCGGATGGTGATACTTTGCCTCATTCCTGGGAAATGCTGCAGAAATACCCACAACTGAATGAAGGTTGCCCTGTTCTTACCCACCTCAGCCTGTAGTCTCTCTTCATCATCTGGTGTCATTCCACCTGCAACAGAACAAACTTATTCCTGGAATTCAAGAGCGGGACTCTTGGACCTCACTCTGAGCATCTATAAAATGGGCACAGCAATGCCAGCCTCTCAGGACTGCTAGGATCCCAGAGGGAGGCAAGGGCAAAAAACGAGTGTCTGACAGGGTTGGCACAGATAGGTGATGGCACCTGCTGAGGCCCAGCAGGGCAAGGCCACAGGCTGGTGTTGCTGCTCTAGGCCCTGCCACCCGTCCCCTCCCTAAAAAGCAATGGGAGCTTGGGCAGACGTGGCCTGAGCTCTTCCCAGCTGACCACAGCAGCAGAGGCAGCCAAGCCTCCTACAAAGCCAACAGGAACAGGGGGGCAGCCTGGTCAGGTGGCCCTGCCACTTGTCACTGTTTAAAAATTGGGTTTCTTTAAAATAACCTAGTAACACAAAAAACCTGAATAGGCACTTAAAGTTTTCATTTGCTCACTTCTAGTTTTATTTCTTGGCTGAGGTTTTTTTGGCAGAAAGTTCAGTTGAATCTTCAAATAATAGCTGTTAGGAGCTGGAATATTCCAGTTCAGGGAACTGAAATATATTAATTCAAACAAAAATAGTTTACTTCCTCAGGGGAAGTTAACTGATTTTGTTTTGTTTATCTCCCTCCCATCGCAGCCTTTCACTGGGCCAAGTCATTGCCTACGTTTAATAGGTTGACATTCTTGAGAGGCCACTGGCCTTCACCTGGGGAGGGTGGGGAGAGGCCACCGGGGGTTGCATTTCCTGCTCACCCTGCTAAAGCTGAGACAGAAAGAGATGGACCCAAGATGCCCTACAGCTTTGAACCCCGTTGAGTAGAAAGCCCCAGACATGGCAACATTCCTGCCAGGCGAGAGGCCCCTCTGTGCCTGAACTGCTCTGAGCTGATTCCACCCCAGGCTGTGCCTGCCTCACAGTTTTGTAAATGATGACTTACCATGATGCCCACATGGAAGCTTCACCTCCTCAGGATGAGCAGGTACATGATACATGCACATGGCCAGACAGCAGGACACACGTGAGGGGGCAGAGGTGCTTCAGAGATGGCACCAGCAGGACCCCAGGCTTCCAGTTGCTGCCTCACTTCCTCAAGATCAGAGGTAGAGCCACTGAGGCAACGATGTTGTATCTACGAAGCACCACTGGATATATGCACCATGACTCTTTGTGAAGTCAGTACTCTTTTCTAATTCCAGAAACATTAAAAACAGAGGTAAAATTCACCCCATAATCCTTTCATTTTAACTATTAAAATTTATTGTTTACCACATGGCCTACTGTGCTTCTTCATAGCAGCAAGGGGGACACTTGCCAGCTCCAACTGGAACGCATCCACATCACCAGATGACCCGCGTTCCTGCAGCGACGTGGCAGCAAAAGATGGGGTTACCCCATCAAAGGCCACCAACACCAGGGCGCTGTCAGATCATCTTATGTTAAAAAAACAGAGATTGCTAAGAAAAAGTGGCTTTTAAAATACATGCATTGTTAAATCTTGTGTTCTCAGGAGTCAACACAGCAGAGAAGTAAAAGCACCAGGTATTAGCAACAGGAGATAAAACCCATATCCAAGATCTCAGAGACCCTGGCCCAGGAGGGCAGGTGGAGCCAGGGATGGAAGTCCACAGCTGGTCCCTCACCTGCCAGCAGCATCAACTCTTACTCACCTGCTGATGCCATTTAAAAGTGAAAGCTTCTCCACCGTCACTACTGGGGGAAGTGTTCCATGACAGAGCCAGAAGCACTGTGGACAGGAGCAGCATAAACGCCTGCCATGACCTGGATGAGGTGATCCCAGTATCATGCCTCATCCCACTGCATCACATCAAATTTGCTCAACAATTGCTCTTGACAATACTCTGTCTTTTCCTTTCTTGCAGCAAGGGAAAAGGGCACAGAAAGCCCAGAAACATGACAAGTTAGTGCATATAAATCAATAAACCCTCAGTCATTAAAACCAAAAGCCCTCCCAGTGAAGCCTCTGTGGCTCCCCAGGTAGGATAGTGGCAGTGGTAGGGCTGCCATTAGAGGGAGGCCCCCGCATGTTAAGAACTCCCAGCAACAACAATGGGTGCTGTGCTCACAGCCTCAGAATGTGGCAGGGTTCTGGGGCCATCACAGTGATGGGAAGTCCTAAGAGACAAGCCTGCTGCTTCCCATCATGCATGAGGAACAGGGTCTCTTCAGGCAGAGGGGCAAACACCCACCTGGTGAGTCCAGGACAGAGCCTCAGACAGCGTCATCACCACCTCAGGATGGGCAGAGGGATGCGCGGCAGGCAGGCACGCTGGGTAAAGTTGTGATCTTCCAAATGTCAGGACTTATACAGGTAATCCCAGTAATCACTGCCTACCTTCCAGAGCAGGTGCTCTTGGCCCTTTGCCACACAAGGGTGCCTAGGCGGTGTGCCCTGGGGTGTGGCATCTCTGCTGTCCCAGTGCTGTCAGCCCAGCAAGAGACACCCCACAGAAAGAACACCTTGGACACAGCCATGACCAGGTCAGGAAGTCTGGCGTCAGCATCTGGGTTGAGGGAGGGCAGCTCCACGGAACCGTCCCACTGACCTCTAAAGACAGGAGAGAGAGGGTAATAGATGCAGTGGTGGTGATTGGCCCCTAACCTGGAAACTTCCACAGCCAAGGAAGCTGCTGGAGAAACTTGTGGTGCCCACTGCCTTCCAGTCTAGGCCATGCCACTCAGCTGAGATTCTCAGTGGACTTCAGGATGCTACCTGGGGGTGATACGACTCTGAGCATGAACCCATCCACACCTGCCCACAGGCTGCCTCACTCCCAAGGCCCTGCATTTTCTGCCCAAACTTCACTGGAAATGTCACTGTCTGCACCACCACCACCACCATAAACACCCATAGCTGTTTTCCTGGAGGTGGCAGCTTTTATACAGCTACATCCATGAGTCCTAAATTTCTAGCAGGGACTGATGAGCACCAACTGTATTCAGCAAGGCCCCTGGCCCACCCAAACCCTGTGCCTCCTGCCTTTAGCTCTTTATAATAAAGTGTTTACACAGGCAAGAGCCTTTGGTTATAGCTATTGAAGACTAGGATGCAGAAAACCTCATCTAAGATTAGGAAATGTTCAATATTTCACAGCTTCACCAATATTCTTCAAGCTTCACTATTTTCTACTCAGAATTCTCTGAGAATGCTCCTACTTTATAAACAGAAAAGAAAGCTTGAAGGGCAGCAGTCGACACCCTACTCAGGGCTGGCGCTGTAGGCCAAGGTCTCACTGAAAGGGCCACACTGAGCAGCCTCAGAGCACTGCTGGGCGCTGTCTCCATCTGCTTACCAAATTAACACAGCTCCAGTGTTTGAAATACTGAGCAGTCTTCTTTCAGGAGAACTGTACACTTTGAACAACTGACAAAAGCTAGTCCACTTTTCTGTCGTTTGCTAACAGCTTAAGTTTTCATTTCCACATGATTCTTCCTTCACAATTGGAATCATAAAGCCTCTTAGGTAACAGTAGTGCTTTTTCTTAAACAGGCACAGTCAACTGCTGGACCTGTGGCTTCCCTAACAGCGGGCCAGTCCTGAGCCCAGCAGCCAGTGAGAGGTAGCGACGGTGGCCTGCCCGTTTCCCTCAGGGCTGCCAGCAACAACCAGATGCCAATGAACAAGGTCCCCAATGGCAGGGTGAGAGCTGGTGGCCACTGCCAACCACAGACAGAGCTACCACAGCCACTCTACTAGGTCCGAAGAACTAGAACACAATACATCACTGAAGTCTGAGGCTGAATTGAGCATGATTTCATCTGATTGAGCCCTCATTTCGATGTCATATGCAGAATTATAAACAATTTTGCAGTTACAGAACTGCAGGCCAAGACAGGAATCACTCATTGCCGCAGTTTCGATCCCCAAACGTTGATTCTGGCTGGTGCTGGGTCAGAGAGTTCATGTTGCCAGTCGCGGAACCAGGCAGAGACACTTGCACCATGCAGCACGGCACCTGGATGAAGAGGATTACTCTGCTTCCACCCAGCTCAGGCTGAGGTAGAGGCCTGCTCACAGAGCATTCCTACCTCATCTGCTAGAAAACTGTTTTTCTACCAGAAGGCAAACAGTAGCAGCAAGCTCTCTCAGTTCCTCAGCACTGTGGAAACCACCTTTGGACTACTCTGGGCCTCACTCACCCAGGCTAGAGTGCACTCTTCACTGAGCATTTTTTTTTTTTGGACAATGATCAAATTAATGTTGAGCACTGGAAAAATCATCTTAGCCAGATGAACTCTTCAGAGCTGACTCAAGAGTGCCCTGCTGGCTGGCCTTTCGGTTGATAAAATATCAACTGAAGAATGACCCAAAAAACCCAAAGCAAATTAACAGCTAGAAGTAAATCAGGGAGTGAGAGAGGGCAGAATGGTTCCCTCACCTGTGAGACAGCCAGAGGTGACTAGAATTACCTGGCAGGTGTGGATGAGCCGCTCAGGCTCTGAGGGCACCAGGCAAGGCTGGGGGAACAGCAGAGTGGGCACCAGGCTAGGCCAGAGGATGGGGGGCAAAATGAGCACCAGTGCCATCCATTCTCCCCAGCGAGGGTGGAGTGGGCAGCAATGTAGTCCACACTCACCCACGAGGCCCGTGAGGAAGGGCGGGGAATCCACCTGCCTAGGATGCAGGTCTGAGGAGGGATCCCACAGGGTCCTCCTGTGCCTCCCTGCAAAGCATCTGCACCCCGAAAACACAGCCTCAAAGGCACCGTAGGGCCTGGGGTCCTGTTCCCACAAGAAGTGAACGGCACTCTCTAGACAGGCTACTGCTTTCTAAAAGGACTTGTTGAAAGCGAATTGTTGCTACTGTGTTCATGTTTCTCCACTTAGAAATGAAGGAGTAAAATGTGCTTAAGGACAGAACTCACGGAATAAAGAATCAGAAACAGTGGCCGGGATGCCTGCCACGTTTCCCTCCAGAGTGGAGGGCTCTGCATCAAGGACTCAGTGACACATTCAAACACGCAAAAGACACATCTTGAAAACCAAGGTTGAAGTGGTTCATTTATTCGTGAAAAGTCTACATGTGTTGACTGCATTCTAAAATGAGGCTAAATGGTCAGGAAAGGTGCCATTAGCTCTGAGTGATTAAAACCATCATAAGCAGATGCCAATAATCATGCAAACCGATAATGAAAGAGCTTAGAAACAACACTTTTATTTTTTAAAAACTTCAACATTGAGGAACCCTTCGCTGAAGCCCATGACTTTCCTATTTTAAAAAGTACAGTAGGAGCAGCACAGGACGACTGTCTTCACACAGGGAAGCTGTGTGTTTACATAAGTCAGACACCCAAAATCAAAACCACATTCTCCCATTAACTTGTGAAGATAACAAATTTGCTTTGGTAGATTCTTTCAAGAAAAGAACATTTTTCTCCCAAAGCACACAAATAAATATTTATATTAAAAACCATAATTATTTTAATCAGGCACAGAAGAAAAAATCATTTTTACATTAGTCTTGTAGATAAGAAAAATATGATTTACAGTGCATATTCCAATCCCAATCTGGGTTTATCCTCAGATTTTGAGAAACCTCATAAAGAACTATTTTGCCAACTATGCGTCACAATTCTATGATCGATGTGAGTTGCAGGCACTTAGCATTCCAATAGAGGCACAGCAACCGCAGCCATCACAGCCACAGAGCTCCCCACAATGTGGGGCAGTGGCCCCCATCTCCCCATACACGTGGTCTCCAGACTTCCAAACACAGTGTTTACATTCCTGCGCAGCAAGACCATATTAGCCAGAAACAACCCTAGGCTGACTTCTGCTTCAAAGTATTGCAGAAGCCATGACATGGGCAATGTTTGTACTGTCCCCGCAAGCAATTCTCTAGGGAGAAGGAGAGTTACAACTATTTACCTGAGGAAACTTAGAATTTGTCAATATAGCTGTTATACTAAAAATTATAAACTTTTCTCTGTATTATGGAACAAAGCAAACCTCCATAACGTCAGAATTTCAACGTTCTAATACAAACTGGAATTTTTGTTTGAACACAACTTGAAGCATGTCCCCCTTTCAAGACTTGATAAGTAAACTTGTTCTATTGAAAAAAAAAAAAAATAGATTGACAGATGGCTAGACAGATGTAGACTGATAGATGACTGATAGACATTGAGAACAGATACAGATGAGTGATAGGTATAAGTGACTGATACAGATTATTGCTTTAGCTAGATGGATGGATGGATGGATTAGGTTAGGGTTGGATTGGTACAAAATTGCTGTTGTTGCCATAATAGATGACAGATCAAGAAAACCTGTTCTACGTTAAAACACATGCAGACAGTGGTAACACTGCAGTGTGTTCTGCCATCAGGCACACTCAATTACTCCACAGGAACAAACTCAAGGAACATCCATATGCATGGAACAGCACAGAAGTGCATGCCGAGCAACTCAAGAAAGGATTTTTGTCTTGTTTTTATGTGAGGGAAATGCACAGTGTAACTGGAGGTTTGATTTTGCTTTTAAACAAAAAAGGAAAACATACCTTTTCTTTCAAACCACTTTTACTTGAGATGTCTGCAACACCCACTGATATGACCCGACCTGCCAGGGTCACATAACTGGCACCTGATACTGTGCAGGATCACACCGTCAAGGACAGTAAGCAGACAGAAAAAGAGCACGAGAGATGCTTTCAAATTGGTCATCAGTTATTCTTGTGGTGGAAACACAGCTTCTTACAGATCTAACACCAGTCATAACAGGCATCTCGCTTTGAGAAAACAAACATGTAAGCCTAATAAAAAAGAGGCACTTCAGTATTTTATGCACAGTCTTAACTCTGTATAATGAGCAAGAAACTGTTTCCTAAACAAAATTATCAAGTGACTAAAATTTGTCCATACTTCTTGAATCTGTGAACAAAAAATAGAGTAAATTTTTTTTTTTTTTTTTTTTGAGACGGAGTTTCACTCTTGTTACCCAGGCTGGAGTGCAATGGCGTGATCTCGGCTCACCGCAACCTCCACCTCCTGGGTTCAGGCAATTCTCCTGCCTCAGCCTCCTGAGTAGCTGGGATTACAGGCGTGTGCCACCATGCCCAGCTAATTTTTTGTGTATTTTTAGTAGAGACAGGGTTTCACCATGTTGACCAGGATAGTCTCGATCTCTTGAACTCATGATCCACCTGTGTCGGCCTCCCAAAGTGCTGGGATTACAGGCGTGAGCCACCGCACCTGGCGGAGAGCAAATTTTTTAAGAAAATAAAGGGACTAATTGATAAGTTCAAAAGAGGTAAAAATTAAATCCCAAAAAAGAACCACTGTTATCATCCAATGCACACAAGAGGCTACTCCTTCCTCAGCAAAAGACGAGCATGCATTTGAAGATACTGACATTTTCCACCCAAATATAACCTTTGCTTTCCAGTATTTGTTTACAGATCTTTTAATTTAATAAAAACAAAGTTTAATTTGCCAAGTTAAACAAAATTAACACACCTGAGGAAGATTCACCTTACCTCCTGACTGTAATTTTCTGGCAAAAGAGAACTGCATGACTGCTACATTCGCATGTGTCACAGATGGTACATATGTGCTACATGCAAGAAAAATGTCTTGTATGTACACAAGTTCTGAAACGGAACTACAGCAGAGAGCAGCGTGAAATTCCTTTTGTGGCAAACTGCAAATCATTACTGTTGTATTATGGGACAGCGTCAAAAATTCACATCTCCAGTTTCTGCAAAACACGGACTGAGTGGGTGAATATTTCTGCAATAAGGAATCAAATGTACAATCCCTGCACGTGTTCACCAAGGAGTCACAGTGTGTGTGAGTTCAATGAACTATGAAGCAGAGGTCCGAATATGAAATACGGGCAAAAAGGAGACTCTCTCTCTAACACAGAAAAGACTCAACAACTCAATGGTGTACTAATAAAAGGCCACCCTCGCCCCACAGCCCCTCATTCTGCCTCTTCTGGGCTGTCCGTCAGGTGACCTTTACTCTGCCGCCGGATGCTCACCAACCTCCCCGCCGAGCGCAGGCTCCACCTGGAGCTGTTTGCAGAGCTGGCCAGGCTGGTGTACTTGGTCGAGCCCTTGGCGTCATCCTCCCAGCCTGGCCAGGATGGGTGGCCACCCACGGTGTCCTCAGGGTCAGCTGATATGTCTTCAAGAGCAAGTTTTGGAGGCTCCCAACCTTCAATCTCATCTGGTTTTTTAGGCTGTATATTCTGTTTTAAACCCAAATTGTCCCAAAATCCAGATTTCTTCTCTGCCTTCAACTCTTCTTTTAATCGCAAGTTAGTTCTATAGGAGATGAAAGGGTCAGGTGTTGGTGACTCAGTAGTCTTAGGACTCCAGCTGTATCCCTTTTACAAACATACAATTCTTTAAAATTTTTTAAAAATGCTTAGAAAATGAATACAAGTCTATATGAAAAGTTTCAAATATTAAAATTAATATGGAAAAATTAGTCACTACATGTTGTTAATGAAGTGTGTGAAAGCCATATTTTAGGGTACCGCTTAGCAATACATATGCAAAGAACTAGTTCTGACAAGACAGAAGTACTGTCACACACGAGAGATCCTCAAGGTAATAGGAAGGTAGTGCTCAAGAGTATAAGCAAATCAGATCTATGAGGATGGAGGGTCTAGATTAAGAAACAAGGAGGGAAATCTATTCAATTTAACAAATCGGTTTCAATAGGATTATTAATATACCAAGCTATTGCCAAGCATTTAGTAGGTAATTTACTCAACAAAAATAAGAATTCAGAACACCATCTACTATAAAAAGGAAAAGGTGGTGAGCGATAGCTACAGAAGGAAGATCCTCCAGGGCTCTTCACCCTGACTGTCCGTGAGCATCACCTGGGAACTTTTTACCACCACCAGTGTCCAGGCCCTCTCCTTCAAGGTCACCTGACCACCAGGGAACCAGTTTACCCCGTCCTCTTCATTCTTCTACAGATGACGGATGAAGGTGAAGTCACTGCTCCACCAAAGCACGAAGGGCCACGTGTCTGCCCTCAGTGCACCACAGTGCAGAGAAGCAGACCAGGGGGCCCACAATCCTCAAACAAAAGCGAACTGTGTACTTGTAGACTCACCAGGATTCATTTTCTAACCAAACAGCTTTCCACAACACAGAGTAAGCAAGCCATTGGTAATGTCACTGGGCAGTCACTGAACGCATATTTTCAACTTTACACTTTTTAAAATTCTGAAACATTGATAATCAAGTAGCAAGGTCAATTTAAATTTACACAATTGTCTAAAACCTTTTGCAGTTTACCAGTCAATCCTTTGCATTTTTTAAGTGTTGGTTTTTTCTTTCCCTGAAACTACTAAAAATCTTAACTTGTGGCTATAGTCTGCTTTAAGGTTAATAAGTTCAATCTATAATTCTAAGTTCTTTTCCACTTTTCTATAACCTTTCAAAATGCCAAGAGATCCTCATAACCTTTTATCCAAAGTAGTTTTTTTTTTTCTCCATCGAACAACACAACTCGTTTCTGTTTATTCACATGGGGATGTTAACCGTGAAGCACACATCATGAAACCCCATGACCGTCTGCCACTCAACAGGAACAGAAAGAGGGAGGGGTGAGGGAAACAGACTCGTCAAGCCCCACAGCACATCCAGTTACACTGTGTTTATGCCATCAAACCTTCATTTCCACCTCCTCAGTGACTTCCTCCGTCTCCTGAAATGGGCATTTTCAGTTATGACTTACCCTTTGGACTTGGGAGATTTACATCTTTCCAGGAGCTGCTGCTCGTCATCTTTATTAAACAGTGAAGTTACTTCTTTCCACCCTCGGAAACTTGCTCCCTGAACCTAATAAAAGGTTAAGAAAAATGTCAAATCTGATGCCATCCATCAGTAGAACTGTTTTCTATTCCAATAACCATGGAGTTGAAATTTAGAAAAAAGAATTGGCAGAGTTTACATTTTAGCTTTCTATACCTGTGTGCACACAGTTTTCTCCCATTAGCTGCTGGTCACCTCACCTGCTTTGGTATTATGGTCATAACAGCTTATCAGTGATGCTGAGTAATTGATATTTAGTAATCGACTAGTCAGTAATCATATTTTGCCTAAAATAGTATATGAAAATGATCCTTAGAATCAGACGAGGCTTCCCTTACAAGTAAAAATTAGGTCTCCTTAAAACTTGGGAGGTTGGGTTGGGCATGGTGGCTCATACCTGTAATCCCAGCACTTTAGGAGGCCACAGCAGGAGGATTCCTTAAGCCCAGAATTTAAGACCAGCCCTGGTAACTGACCCCAGTCTCTACAAAAAAATACAAAAACTTAGCCATTTTGGTGGTGTAAACCTGTAGTCCCAGACACTTAGGAAGCTGAGGTGGAGGATCACTTGAGCCCCGGGAGGTCAAGCCTACAAAGAACTGTGATCTCACCCCTGCAGTCCAGCCTGGTGGAGCAAGACCCCACCTCAAAAAAACAACAGCAACAACAACAACAACAAGCAGCATGTAGGATACTGACTTTCGAGAAGGTTGTTATCAGAAGTCCCCTACAAGGGGGGCTTTTCCAAGGTCCCCTGGCACAACTCTACCACTACCTTTAAGCGTCAGCATCTCCATGGAGGCAGTGATCCTTGCCCTAACCTCTACAAGTGTAGATTTCTGAGAAGAAATACTTTTGTTGACTGTAAATAAACGATTTTGTACAATTTTTTTCATTTCTGAAATCAAGATATAATTAATAGCACCAGGGATGCAATGAAATCTATTACTAAGAAGAAAGAATGGAGAAAAACATCTCCTGAAAATCTGGCTAGTGTTGTGGGCCCTTCACGTTCACTGTAACATTCCCCAGGGTTCATCACCACATTGCTAGGTCTGGGAAGGGTCTCTCATGGGATGGAGTTAGCATTAGAATCCTTTGAATTGTTAAAAATAAAGCAATCCTGAAAGCTGAACTGAGGTTTTGGGAGGACACTGATATGAAACAAGGACAATGAATACAATTCAGCCAAGCACCGAGGTAACCCAGTGACTGCTGGGTGCAATGCCTGGGGTCTCCAGGGCACATCACAGCCTCAGGAAGGGGTGAGGTGCCACATATCCCAGAAAACTAACCAGGGACCAAGGAGTCCTGCTTTCACTTCCCATAGGCCAGACTCTCTCCTCCCGTCTTGGCAGAGGTCCATACCTACGGACCAGGAGACAGGCTCTCCAACAGCTGTGACTGGAGAGGTGTGAGTGTTTAGGAAGTAGGTACTAGGATGGGAGCAAAGAAATCATCACAGCAAAAAACACTGGGTACCAGGTAACAGCTTTCCACATCACATGCTACACAAAAGCCTACCGCACAGCCCCATGCCATGCTGACAGCTTTGGCGCACCTGTATGCACATCAGGTAAAGGATTATGTTTGATGCTCAGGGCCATGACATGACCAGGCATGTGGCAGGATCCTATCAAGAGGTCTCAATGGAGAACACAGTTCTATAGGCTGACCCATCTGGACTCTGGAGGAAGGACCATGTGCAGTCACTAAGTACCCAGCACCGTGCGACGCAATCCCCACCCACCACGTCCCTCACTCTGAGCAACATTCCATGGGACAGACACAGTGAACCTTCATGACCTTGGGGAACTTGGCTCATGCAAATAGCCAGGAAGCAAAGCGGGGCTTGAGCTAATGTCTATGTTCACCATTTCCAGGCCTGCCCTGTCCCAACACCATTAGGCACAAGCCTGTGCCTCACCTGTCCATGGACTCCCCACCTCTTGTCTTCATCTGTCATCACCACCCCAAAATGCTATTTGCTCCACACACATCACCTGCATGTCCTAAAAGTGTGATATGGTGTGGCTCTTTGTCCCCCACAAGTCTCATGTCAAATTGTAATCCATGTGTCAGGGGAGGGACCTGATAGCAGGTGACTGGATCACGGGGGCAGATTTCCCTCCTGGTGTTCTCATGATAGTGAGTTCTCAAGAGATCTGATCCTTTCACACACTTCGTTATTTTCCTTAATTTTAATATTTGAAACTTTTAATAGAGTTGCATTCATTTTCTAAACAATATTTTTTTGCAAGGATTTTTAAAATATGTATTTCTTGAAAATATTTTGAAAGTAATTAAGATCCCTGAGTGGAAGGGGGAAAAAAATCAATACAATGAAATTTAGGAACAGAAATGCAAGAGCAGCTGCTGCATCCGGCCCCTTCCACCAGAGGGGCGCAGCCAGGAGATGCTCGTTTTATGATCCCATAAACAATTTTTTTTTTATTTTAAAGAATTTTATGTTCATAAAATGGATACAGCTTGAGGCCCTAAGACCACTGGGTCACCAATAGCTAACCCTTTCATCTCCTATAAAACTAACCTGCGATTAAAAGAAGAGTTGAAGGCAGGTAAGAAATCTGAATTTAGGCCTCAGATCTAAAGGCAAATCTGTAACACTCTAGCAAATCAAACCACTACTGGCCGGGCACGGTGGCTCACGCCTATAATCCCAGCACTTTGGGAGGCCGAGGCGGGTGGATCATGAGGTCAAGAGATCGAGACCATCCTGGTCAACAAGGTGAAACCCTGTCTCTACTAAAAATACAAAAATTAGCTGGGCACGGTGGTGCGCGCCTGTAGTCCCAGCTGCGCGGGAGGCTGAGGCAGGAGAATTGCCTGAGCCCAGGAGGGAGAGGTTGCAGTGAGCTGAGATTGCGCCATTGCACTCCAGTCTGTGTTAACAACAGCACAACTCCATCAGTCAATCAATCAATCAATAAAACCACTACCCAAAGAAGCGTCTTAAAATGTAATCTTCAGAAGCCCCAACGCACGCCACACACAGTCTCCGGAGAGTCAGTGCACATGGCTTGCACACAGCTCACTTCTGAATACTAACGCCCCTGCTGCTTTCACCGGTATCTGCTAGCCCAGTGGGTCAAACTTCTCCCCACTTCTTTGCCTTCAAATCTCTCTTTTCCATTTCGTTCTTACTGTGGGGTACAGAAATGCCCTCATCCTCTAGGAAGTGCAGCAATGTGCAGAGGGTGTGCTCCCTCTCTCTTCTGATTTCACCCGCCCTTGGGATGAGGAAGTCTCAAAGCCCACCCAGAGTCTGAGCCCACAAATCTCACACTCAAGCATCTGGCCACCTGCTAGGCAGTTCCACTCAGGGCCAATCACCACCCGCACCACACTGAAGAGGCCAGGCTTCCCTTCATCTCCCATTTCTGCACAGATTTTTTTCAGGAATTCCACCCCTTGGACACCACACTGGACTGGCAGTAGAACCCACACTTTCAGTGGTGTGTTCTCCACCAACCATATCAGTCTCCCTGTAGCACCTGGCTGGCTGCTGCACATCCCACCAGATGACCCTGGAGATGAGGCTCCATCACACCACCAGCCTCTGGGGCCACTGCTCTAACATGCACCTCCATGGAGAACACACAAGGGAATTCCTCTCCACTGCCAAGTGAGCAATCAGAAGAGGGTGAAGTCCTAGAAGGTGCACGAATAGACAGGATCGAGGTGTGAGCATGAGAAGTGCTTCAAGACTACCACTCATCTACTACACAGAAGATAATGGCCACGTGCAGCTGGGAGGAGCAGCAGGTTTCAGGAGTACTTTTGGGGTTCCTAAGCTCAGGCCACACACTAGAACTGATGCCCACCTTAGCACACACCAACACAGAATCCAGAGCCATGCACCAGAACCCACGCCCACCTCAGCACACACCAACAGAGAATCCACAGCCACACACTGGAACCCATGCCCACCTTAGCACACACCAACACAGTCCAAAGCCAGGCAGCAGAACCCACGCCCACCTCAGCAAACACCAACAGTCCAGAGCCACGCACTAGAACCCACGCCCAACTCAGCACACACTGAGTCCAGAGCCACGCACCAGAACCCACACCCACCTCTGCACAGACCAACAGAGTCCAGAGCCATGCACCAGAACCCACGCCCACCTCAGCACACACCAACACAGAATCCAGAGCCATGCACCGGAACCCACGCCCACCTCAGCACACACCAACACAGTCCAAAGCCACATAGCAGAACCCACGCCCACCTCAGCAAACACCAACAGTCCAGAGCCACGCACTAGAACCCATGCCCACCTCAGCACACACCAACCGAGTCCAGAGCCACGCACCAGAACCCACGCCCACCTCAGCACACACCCACAGAATCCAGAGCCATGCACCGGAACCCACGCCCACCTCAGCACACACCAACACAGTCCAAAGCCACATAGCAGAACCCACGCCCACCTCAGCAAACACCAACAGTCCAGAGCCACGCACTAGAACCCATGCCCACCTCAGCACACACCAACCGAGTCCAGAGCCACGCACCAGAACCCACACCCTCCTCAACACACACCAACACGGAATCCAGAGCCACGAACCAGAACCCACACCCAACTCAACACACACCAACACAGAATCCAGAGCCAGGCACCAGAACCCACACCCACCTCAACACACACCAACATGGAATCCAGAGCCACGCACCAGAACCCACACCCTCCTCAACACACACCAACACGGAATCCAGAGCCACGAACCAGAACCCACACCCAATTCAACACACACCAATGTGGAATCCAGAGCCACGCACCAGAACCCACACCCAATTCAACACACACCAACATGGAATCCAGAGCCACGCACCAGAACCCACACCCTCCTCAACACACACCAACACAGAATCCAGAGCCAGGCACCAGAACCCACACCCTCCTCAACACACACCAACACGGAATCCAGAGCCACACACCAGAACCCACACCCTCCTCAACACACACCAACATGGAATCCAGAGCCAGGCACCAGAACCCACA